CATCTCCCGTCTCTTCGTCTTCCTCCTTCTTCTGCCCACTCTTCTCCACCCGCTCTGCCTCTCTCTCTCTCTCTCTTCCTCCCTGTTCCCTCGCAGTCGCTATCCACCGACACTCTCCGTGTGTCCAGCCCCATCTTTATCCTATCCTCTTTTTCTCTTTCTTCCTTCCTCTCTGTATCTCTTTTTCCCTCTTCTCCTCGGACGTACATATACGCGCTCTCTCTCCTATACCGCTATACGTACACCATCCCTAAATCTGTATCTCTACTCGTGCATGGAACCGTGCGTATATTATACACGCGCAGACGTACACACGCGAGCGAACATAGCATTCACGAGCGCTTTGTTTATGCCGTACGAACAGTTTCGGTGCCTTTTCTCTTCACACTTCACACCCGTGTCACTCCATCCTTCTTCCGCCGGCGATGCCCTCCTCGACGGGTTGAGGGTCATTCGTGCACTTAGGTGCACGCGGAATTCCGCCTCGAAGTCCTGGTACGTGAGAACTCGCCTTATACAACCACATCCTCCGCGACGTGCTTCTTTCGACGTCCATGCGAGAGCCAGCCTCTCTCCTACACAAGCGTGGGTACCTACGGCGAGCCGATCGAAATTCGCATTTTCGAATCGTAAATTCGCAACGCCACGAGTTGCGTTTTTATTCGAGTCACGAGCGACTCGTCGAGGAATCATCGGGGGATATAGACTTTTACGATCGATATTTGTCGCCGATTAATATCGTACGCGTTATCATCGCCGTAGATCCGCTGTCTCGTTTCTTTTCTTTTTTTTTACTTCTACCCTTCGACCGTGACTGCTAACAACATCGTCGCGAGACGATAGTCCGTATCTGGAGGAGGAATAACGGTGTATTTATTGGTACGGTAATTCGTCTCAAGGAAATCGTACGATAACTCTGGCACGTATATCTAACAATAAGCCTTCAATTGGTTTGCTATGTATGTACGAGTGGCCGATAATGCCAGGCGTCGGTGTACACGGACTACGGACAGAAAGAGGCGTCTCGCTAAATGACGGGTTCACGGTTATTAACGTCATCCCGGGCATATCTGTCACGTTCTCTCTTTTTTATTTCGCTTACTCTCGCCTCGTCCCGTATATTAACCGCTTGTAACTCGTCCGAGATATTTTCGTTGTCACGAAAAAAAGAGACGTGTTCACGCCTCGGCTTCTTGCGATTGACAAACGAACAGATATCAATCGGCCGACGCTTCTAATTAATCGCAGACGGTAACGCCTGTTCCTAGCCCATCCGTTTTTACTCTTATACGTGCGTCTATTAAGTTAGCTCGATAGCATTTGTAGAACATGTACGATTTTAATACAAGTTGTACTAAACAATAGTTAAAGTTTCGAACTTTCATTTTTCATAAAGAAAATATAGGATTTCCGTCAAAAATTGTTTAAAAAATGCATTAGAAAATTCTTATTTTTAACACGGGAGCTTATGGAAACTTTTGTATAAATGCCTCGTGCGATCTCATGTCATATACATTTTTAATAAAAGTTATCTCTCCCTCTCTCGATACGTTACCCAAATAGCGAGCTACCTTAAGTAGTGTCCAATGAGATAATAGACTTTCAATTGCTGAACGATCATGAGATTATATACAACTGTACATCCTGAAGGCAGATTCACTGCAATTGATTTTTGAATAATTATTCGAATCACGGTAGCGTACTCGAGAATCTGTTCTCTGTACAGAAGGAAAGCAACAGATTCCTCCTCTTCAGTCGTCTTCACTTTCGATCTACTCTTTACTTTGCCCCGTCTTCTTTCTACTACATACCACTACCGATCCATATATATGTAAGTACGTTCCTGGATATCCCCACCAGACGACCGGCTCAAGAGCATCTCCTCCCGCTTGCATGTTTTTCTTTTGCGCTCTCTCCCTGTATCCCTCCCTTCTCGCTATACTTGTACTTCCGGCCGTGAGGCTAGCGCGAAATTCTCGCAAAATAAACTACGACTCCGTGGATAACTTCTCCCTTCTCTCCTCTCCCTACCTAACCTCCCCCCTCTCCCCTGCGAACGTATTTTTAACTATCGACTCGTTACCGCCTGCCTCGCCTAAACTTCCTGCCACCGTCAGGAAGAGACGATCGAAAACATAGCTGTCGAAGAGGAAGCCACTTGTTCATTCCTTCCCCTTTACAGTCAGCGAATTATTCTGTCCATCTTCTTATTCGCTGGAGCATCTTCATGATAAATAATACTAGATAAATATAATGTAACGTGATGACAGTATCCGATGTAATAAGAACGCTAGTAAGTCCGCGCATTAGAGTATAGGAACAGCTGACGAGTCATACGAACCGTCGTAACAATTCCTACGAAGCCTTATCATCTGTTAGGTATCGTCATAATAGAAAATCGTCATAGAACGGCGATACGTCTTCTCTATGCAGGAGAGCGGCGGCGGCGGCGGCGGTGGCGACAACGATCAAGCCAGTTCTATGCGTCACGAAACAGTCGTGTGTATACGCGGTGCATCGTCTCTATAGCGGTCTCTCGCTGTACGACGTCCGTGGTATAGGTCAGTGAAGTAGTAGCTTCCCCACCAGCCTACTCCTAGACAACGGGTCTACGATTGACTCATCTAGCCAGTCATACGGCGCGTAAACACGATCCGCTCCAGCTGTTTCTCCGCGCGCCGCTCTTTCACTCTCGTGATCCTTTATCAGCCTGTCCCCCTTCAATCTTCTTCCCTTTTCCTACTCGACCTCTCTCTCTCTCTCTGTCTCTTTCTCTCTCTACCTCGTTTTCCTCCTTACATCCCCGTCCCCCCGCGACTTTTCCCTACTTTTGTACCTATGTACGCGGTTCCTGAGAACAACGGGGCGTTCTCTTTATTTTTAGAGGCACCTCGAGAATTCGGTTGCCTGCTTCCCCGTCTTTTTCCGTCTCATTCGATCGTTCGCTCTCTTCCTCCCATTTTTAACCTTCCGTCTTTGGCAGCAGCTCGGAAGTAGAAAAGCTCTTTCTCTCTTCGAACCGAGGAGGAATCGTTCAACAACCGCGCGCCTCCACGGAACTACGAGAAGCGGCGTGGAGAACGCGAGGTAAGAGGAGGAGGAGGAGGAGGAGGAGGAGGAGGCGGCGGCGGCGGCGGCGGCGAACGATGGCGAACGGACGAAGGAGGGAACGAGGCAGAAAGAACGAGTTCCGATTTTAGCGCAGTCGCGGCGAGCCGGCCTCAGAACGAGCGGCGCTATTATGCACTAGTAGCTTGATGGCGTCACCCATGCAACCTTGGCTCGGGTCAGTCCTCTATCATACTGCAGCCAGAGTTCCCCTACCCTCGCGCGCTCGCCTCTCTTTCCCTCCCCTCTTTGTTTCTCTCTCTGGTGTCGTCTCACGTCTCTCATCCTCTTCGTCTCTCTCTTCATTTGGCTCCGCTTAACCCTCTCTTTACCTCTTCTCCTCACGCACACACGGCACCGGCCACACGACCAGTGGCGTAAGAATACTTTCTATTTCCAGGCATCCCGGGAGTTCCTCGTTTTCGCTGAACTTATCGAACGATTTCGCAATGAAATTTCAGTTTAGACTTTTCTACTTCGATTAAGAATCGACCAGTTTCATTCTCTCTCTCTCTCTCTCTCTCTCTCTCTCTCTCTCTCTCTCTCTCTCTCTCTCTCTCTCTGTTGAATATATAAAATGTCCTTGAGTCCCACGCAGTGTGTTCTCAGCTACGAGGAAAGACACTCTTATCGGAGGGTCCGATGTCGCGATCGAAGTCATCGATCACGATTCGCGACGGTGAAATCAGCCCTCAGAAATTAATGGAAAAAGTACAAAATAGCGTCAGTTCCCATTACGCCCATGACCATGAACGTTGCCGACGTAAACTCGACTCGTGTGCATTCCCATCCATATGGGTTCGACACGAAAGACGTTCCTGTGCAACGATCCGATGAACCTCTTCGTAAACGATGCTTCCATCGTCCGTAGATCGCATATCCGTGTCCGATTCGACGGGACACGCGTGCAACGCCCGTTGTACAGGCGTACACGTTTTGCATGAATCGAGATCGATCGCGTACGATCGAGACCGGAAAAAACAGTTATCGAGATGAGAAACCGCGAAACCCTGTCTCGAGACATCAATCATCCGGTGACAGAAACGGCAAAGCACCGGGAACGATGCTCCGCGGACACCGCTATTAATAGGTCATTGCACGTTTAAGTACGGTGTGTACTTTAGGAGACACGCCGCGAAAATCTTCTTGAATCGACATCAAATCGGTGCCGATTCCTCAGTTTATTTTTGGTCGTCTCCATTTCAAGAAATGCTGCTTAGTCATGGCTTAGAAAGATTTTGTTAAAAAATTTATTCTTACATTGTTTTGGGGGATTGCAACGACGATGTATAAAACAATCTAGACTTGCGTATGGAATTATAAAGACGTACGATTTGTCATTAAACTGCTTGCAGTTAAACAATAGAATAGGATTGCCTTTGGCTATGCACTCAATTTTTATATTAATTTAATTACGATAAAAGTTTTAAAGACAGTAATAGCCGATAAATGGTATGCGTGAAAAATTGAAATGCCTTTCTATGTTCGCGAAATTGGTGGGCTAATCGAATAGCGGGTGTTAAAAAAAAAATTAATCAAACGCGAACTGAACCCAATTAGTACAGAGCATATGCTCATCTGATGAGTTAGCTTCGGTTAATGCGTGCGTTAAAAAAGTGGAACGCGCTAAATTTCATTTCTCCATGAACAAACGGGTCTTGTTCCCTTTTTAACCTGGGAAAAGTGTAATAACTGGATTCCCCCCGTAATTAATTTTCTCCTCGGTGACAATCTGCATTGCCTTTTAATTTCCAAATGGTATCACGTGACACCGTCCGACGAGACTGATTTAAGTGGCAACGATATCGTTCATAATTGCACAAGTGTAATCAACGTATCTATGTACTGTATGTGATGCTTGAATAATTATTTTTATCTCTTTCTCTTTACAGTGTCTGAGAGCTACAGCAGTTACGTGAACTCGATGTACGCCAGCGGAGCCCAATTCGCCACCCCGTGCACCCCTAGTCCGCCCCGGGGTCCCGGCGGAGTCCCGACGAGCGTAATTCAAGCAGCCACCAGCTCGGTGTCCGACGACCTGTACCTGCTGGAGTTAGGCTTCCCGCCGCGATCGAAGAAGAACAAGCTGAAGAAGCCGCGGCAAGGTGACGGCGCGGCGGTGAAAAGGAAATCCCGCGAGGGTTCGACGACGTACCTCTGGGAGTTTCTGTTAAAGTTGCTTCAAGACCGGGAATACTGTCCCCGTTACATCAAATGGACGAATCGCGAACGGGGCGTATTCAAGCTAGTGGACAGCAAGGCGGTATCGCGCCTGTGGGGTCTCCACAAGAACAAACCGGACATGAACTATGAAACGATGGGCCGGGCCCTGCGTTATTACTACCAACGCGGTATCCTGGCGAAGGTCGACGGACAGAGGCTGGTTTACCAGTTCGTGGACGTGCCGAAGGATATCATAGAGATCGACTGCACCGGGGCGTGAGACAGGGCTCGCGGCTCGAGGGAACATCAGCACGAAAGGCACGCTGTACGGGAAAAGAGCAGAAGCGAGAACGATTCGCGCGCTCTGGTCGCGATCGTAAAACGAGAGAACGCGTCGCCGTTGTCGAGCAACTTTTCCTGCCGCAACGCGGTGCCCACTTGGCACATCCCTCAGACGATCTGAAGCATACCCTCTCTCTGACTTCGTTTGTTCCTTGTATTATAAATCGTGTACCATCAAAGGATGTATGGGTATATTAAAGCGCGAATACGCACGGACGCTGGCCGCGAGAAGATGAACGTTTTCTGTGTTTATTGTAAACGCGACATTTGCCAACGCGTTCTGACACGCGACACTCTCGTGTAACCGTGATTTCGTCCTCCCTTGGTCTTTCTACTTTTTGTTAAATCTTTGACGGTGCGCGTCGATAATAATCGTACTAAGCTTTACAACGTTTAATATATATATATATATTTGGAAGAGAAAGATATATACATACGTATATGTGTGTATATACGCATACGCGTTGAGCTCGTTCAAATTTGTACAAAATTTTAGTTCATAAAAACGAAGACGTCTATGTTGCGAGTGTTAGTAAATGTATTTTAACTCCGAGAGGAATGAGAAAAAAAAGTATATGATGAATCTAGTATGGACAAATTACTTAACGTATAGTCGGGATATTATAGGCGAACAATTGTACATTCAAGAGCGCGATAAATTATTTATTGTACATTAGACAATTATATATGTTACCTACAATGGGGAAAAATGAAGCATTGATGACAAAAATGTTATATATGTATGTGTCAACGAGGGAAACCACAATTAAAAAAAGAGCAACGGGAAAGTGGAACTTACACGATGTACGCGTACGCGGACGTGGAGAGTTTAAAGGTAAAAAAAAAAACGAAACGAAATGAGGGCTGTGAAAAGATTTGGCAAGGTGGGAAATATGATAGAGCGGAGATGATGATAAAGATGTTAAACGAAAAAGAAGTTTTACGGAGCGAGCTCAGGGAGAGGAACAGATATGTATAATATACATACACACACGTATTCAATACGCGCGTGCCGGCGCGTACGTCCACATGAAAACACGCGATTGATACACTATATTTTTTTAAATATAAGCGAGAATTAATGGACGACTGTTCTATTTGAGCTGAGGGTTCAACAACGTAAGGTGCTGGCTATACACACGAGGTCCAAGAATGTTATTTAGCAAGCTAGTGTTACTAATTCATAAAAAAAAATTATTGAGACAGACATTATATATCTCTGTATATACAAGAATACAACTTTAGTATATATTATTGAATATTATATATATATTATATAAATATATATTGTATGTTATGTAGTAAATGGAGCGAGTTAACGTGTCTCTATGAGATTTTTTTGTCACGTCTGTGTGGAAGGACGTTTAGACCGTCTATCTGTGCGATGTCTCTATAATACCTACACATAAAAAAGAAGCACACATAATCGGAGAAACATTTTCGCTTCTCCTCCTCTCTGTTCCATTTGCTGTTACGAACTCTCAGCATCGGGACCAAACGCAATGCGAATCAATCGACAATTTGATCCTGTGCTCCGGCGAAAGAATGATAATAATAAAACGCACATCCGACGTGCTTCTCATGCTCAGTAAGAATCAGAGACATCGCGCCTTTCGAGTGTATAAAAGTTAGAGGATGTTAGCCTTCCTAGCGCGTGCGGGTCATTCGAAACACGATAAGTTAGAGCGAAGTTTAATTTATTGAGCAGCAAAACTGTCGACCCTGCACGCGGACGTGGCGTGCGAGTGCAAGCGTATCCTATAGAAAATAAGTTTTGTACATAAAGATTCGTTGAGAGCATACTTAAGAAGACGTTACGTTATCTTCGTAATCGTGGACAAACGAAAATAATGAAAAAGAGAAAGCGGGGAAGATGCGAGCCACGATACACGGTTTTCAAGTGTGATCGTGGCTCAGATTCTATCCACGTATGTTGTTCTTCTTGACGATCACACGGTCGAACATTTCAATAAAAGAAATACAGAAAAACACAGTAACATAATGTATAATAGAGAAAACGATCAAGTGCTGCCAATAATGCCTGTAAACGGTCCCTTGCATTTTTTTCGCCAGTTTATGAAAGTTAGAAACGCGAAGAGAACTCGAGAACATTGTTGTAGAGAAATTAATAAGCGTGATTGTTGGAAATCAAGATGAAATGTCTTGGGACGCCAGACATACCAGATGATACAAAACGAATTGCCTTCTCGTAATTAACAAAGACGTGTTGCCTTCTAACAAAGAAAACATATTAATGAAAAAAAAAGATGTTCTAGCAATTTGTATTTGTAATACCATCGACATTGTCCGGGTACTTAAGACGAAAAAAATACAACCTTTAAACCCGTATATCATGCCCAGCCCCCTCCCCCCCTTTGTCAGCATAGAATTTTGTAATTTTTGTCAAGAGAAACATAATAATAATAACAATAACGATAATGATAATAATAACGAAAAAGATAAAAAAAAAGATGACAATGTTGAGAAACGTTTTTGGTACACGAAGACTTTTTTCATATCGCACTTTGCATACACGTATCGGATGAAAGAATTGTGCTTGTAAAGTATAATTTAAAGAAAAGATATTAAATAACGAAAGAGAGCGAAATATACATCAGAGTACAATGGATAAAAAAAAGCAAGTACCTATAAATAGTACTACTTCTATAAATAACATCCACTTATAAACAATGAATGGTCACTGCAAACAAAAAAAAATCCTATTTTTAGGTAAATTAAATTTACATATACATAACGATTGACTACGCTACAAGATATTTTAACGAATAAGACTTTACTGTAATAGGGATAAATCTATAATTATTTACTTGTAAAATAAATATGAAGATACGATGGATTGACGTAAGGAACTCTAATGTAACGTTCTGTGATTCGTTGTTTGTAGGTGAAATTTAATAAAAGATTACTGTATCATAATATCCCACCGTCTTTTTACTCACGACTTATTAACAAACTAGGATTACGAGGCGCGTCACTTGACGCAGTCCGAATTTCATTAAGAAAATTACAGAAACCGTTTACATTTTTCTTCTACCTACCAGCATTATCCATTTAATGAGATAAATACATGCCGAAACTATTTCTTCAAAGCTTTTTAATTTTAGAGATCTCGATGTGGTACATCTTACTATCTAACCGTTGAGGTAGGTATAAGAAATGTCCGTAAATGTGGTGTTCAAACAGAATATAAATTCACCATCTCTTTAAATAAATGAATATACTTACCTAATGAGTAGGCCAAAGGGACCGACCTTCCCGAACAGGAAATCCACTGTTGCACGTTGTTCCTTGACCTGTGCACCTCGCAGTCCGGCTTATTTAATTTCCTGAATAAAACTCATAATTTCGAGCGCGCGACATACTTTTCGTATTCTTAAAGATTTCCTCTTTGGTATTTCTAACAATTGTCACAATGTAAGTTTTGGATTATACTCGCGTGATAAGATAAAACCGAACTGTCAAACCAAACATTCTCGTCCACTTTTGAAAGTTTTCTAATTAGGGCGATTATATCGTTATGACGTAATGCTTATATATAACGCTGATTGATAAGATGCGTAAATCTAAACGAAGCGTTTCATTGGCTTAATGTATATCGGTCGACCAATAAGTGACGCTGATCCAAGAGAAAGTATTTCTCTGGCTTGTTACGGACAAAACCCCCCCGCCAGGAGCCGCAGTTAGTATCGAACGTCGACGAACGTCAGTTGTTAGTGTACACATCGAACACAGGAAAATTGTGCAAGGTAAAATTGTTTTCCCATTGTTCTTACATTGTTCGTCGCACATACGATCGTAGAATATTATAATTATCGGAGAACAGTGAAGAACAAACGCGTTGTGTACGCTTTAATTATTGATTTCACTTGGACAGTTGACCCTACCACACCCGGTAGCCATTTTGGACAGTGGAGAAGTGTCTTTAAAGCGATAAGAATTGCCGAAGGATGGATCAGATCACGCCGAAGGAAGTAAAGATCCTGGAAAATCCTGAGGATATTCAGGAAAGGAGAGAGCAAGTCCTCGGTCGATATGCGAATTTCAAGGCGGAGGCCCGGAATAAGAGGGATAAACTCGAGGACTCCCGTCGCTTTCAGGTATGTCTTCCGGGTATTAATTTTTACAATCTAATCTTTATGGTTTCCTTCGTTACGCTGATAAAATTTCGTTTCTCGCAGTACTTTAAGCGAGATGCGGATGAGCTCGAAGGATGGATCTTCGAAAAATTGCAAGCTGCCTCGGACGAAAGCTACAAGGATCCTACCAACCTTCAGGCTAAGATTCAGAAACATCAAGCCTTCGAAGCAGAAGTCGCAGCACATTCCAATGCTATAGTGTCCTTGGACAATACTGGCTCCGAAATGATAGCTCAACATCACTTTGCAAGCGACGTTATTCGTAAGAGACTAGGTGAGCACTGTTAATCCAGTATAAAACTACTTAAGCTGCATTTGACACTGACCGTTGAATATATTTTACAGTGGATCTTCATCAGCTATGGGAACTGCTTCTGTCGAGATTAGCAGACAAAGGTCTTAAATTGCAACAAGCTCTGGTACTTGTTCAGTTCATCAGACACTGCGATGAAGTTATGTTCTGGATCCACGATAAAGAGGCGTTCGTTACCACCGATGAATTTGGGCACGACTTGGAACACGTCGAAGTACTTCAAAGGAAGTTCGACGAATTCCAGAAGGACATGGCTAGCCAGGAATACAGAGTGACAGAGGTGAACGAAGTGGCAGATAAACTTCTTCTGGATGGACATCCCGAGCGTGATACTATCCTACGCAGAAAGGAGGAGCTTAACGAGTCTTGGCAGAGATTGAAGCAGCTTGCGGTTTTGCGCCAAGAGAAACTATTCGGCGCGCACGAGATTCAAAGATTCAACCGGGACGCAGACGAGACAATGGCGTGGATCGCGGAAAAGGACGTTGTTCTATCCTCAGACGATTTTGGACGTGACCTCGCAAGCGTGCAGACTTTGCAAAGGAAACACGAAGGAATAGAGCGCGACCTGGCAGCTTTAGAAGACAAGGTGTACACGCTGGGAGCTGAAGCAGATCGCCTCGCTGGTATCCATCAAGCGGACCACTCGAAACAAATTCAAGCTAAACGTGCGGAGATTTTACAATCATGGGAGAGCCTTACTGCGAAAGCTAAGGAAAGACGTTTGAAGCTCGACGAGTCTTATTATCTGCATAGATTTTTAGCCGACTACAGAGATTTGGTCTCATGGATGAACGACATGCGTGCGATTATATCAGCTGACGAATTGGCGAAAGACGTGGCAGGTGCCGAAGCGCTTGTCGAGAGGCACCAGGAACACAAGGGAGAAATCGACGCCAGAGCTGATAGCTTTGACGCGACCACTTTGGCTGGCAACAAGTTGCTCGAGAAGAAACACTATGCCGCGGAGGAGGTGGCCAGAAAATTGAACTCGCTTGCCGAAGAGAAACAATCTCTTTTGAGTCTTTGGGAAAAAAGGAAGATCCTGTACGAACAGTGCATGGACTTGCAGTTATTCTACCGAGATACGGAGCAAGCGGACGCTTGGATGGCTAAACAGGAAGCTTTCCTAGCGAATGAAGATTTGGGAGATTCTTTGGACAGCGTAGAAGCTCTTATTAAAAAACACGAAGACTTTGACAAGTCTCTGGCCGCGCAGGAAGACAAGATCAAAATATTGGACGACTTTGCTAGCAAGTTGATAGAGGGTGAACATTACGCGGCAGATGATGTGGCACAAAGACGCAAAATGCTGTTGGAAAGACGGGCTGTTCTCCTTGAGAAATCTGCTCAGAGAAGACGTCGCCTTGAGGACGCATATAAATTGCAACAGTTCGAACGCGACTGCGACGAAACGAAGGGTTGGGTCAACGAGAAATTGAAATTCGCCACTGACGATAATTATTTGGATCCTACTAATTTGAACGGCAAGGTACAGAAACATCAGAATTTCGAGCAAGAGTTGACCGCTAACAAAACTCGTGTGGAAGAGATGGTAGCTACTGGTCGTGAACTGATAAGCAACGGTCATTACGCTTCTGACAGAATTAGTACTCGTTCCGAGGAGATCGCGTCTCTGTGGGACAGCCTCACTCACGCCACCGGAAAGAAAGGATCGAAACTTCAGGAAGCCTCTCAACAACAGCAGTTTAATCGCACTGTGGAGGATATCGAATTATGGTTGTCGGAAGTGGAAGGGCAATTGATGTCCGAAGATTATGGCAAAGATCTGACCAGCGTGCAAAATCTCCAAAAGAAACACGCTCTTCTGGAAGCCGACGTTGCGTCTCACTCGGACAGAATCGAGACCATCGCTCAAGCTGCGGAGCAGTTTGTAAGTCAGGGTCACTTCGACGCCGACAACATCAGAGCCAAGCAAGAACAGTTGCAAAGCCGCTACGCTGCTCTGCAACGTCCCATGAGCATCCGTAAGCTGCGTCTATTCGATTCTCTGCAAGTACAACAATTATTTAGAGATATAGAAGACGAAGAAGCCTGGATCCGCGAGAAGGAACCGGTTGCTGCGTCCACCAACCGTGGCCGTGATCTCATCGGCGTGCAGAATCTGCAGAAAAAACATCAAGCTGTTCTCGCGGAAATAAACAATCACGAACCGCGCGTAGCTGCCGTTTGCCAAGCCGGTGCGTCGATGTTGCAAGAGAGTCACTTCGCTGCGGAAGAAATTGGCCAACGACTGGCTGCACTCGACGAGCATTGGGGACAACTGAAAGAGAAAGCCAGGCAGCGTAAGACTGACTTGGACGACTCGCTTCAAGCACATCAGTACTTCGCCGATGCGAACGAGGCTGAATCATGGATGAAGGAGAAACGACCCATAGTGATGAACACCGATTACGGAAAGGACGAAGACAGCTCCGAGGCTCTTTTGAAAAAGCACGAGGCATTGGTCAGCGACTTGGAAGCTTTTGCCAGCACCATAGCCGCACTTCGTGAACAAGCTGCTGCTTGTAGACAACAGGAGACTCCCGCTATTGACATCACTGGTAAAGAATGCGTGGTAGCTCTGTATGATTATACGGAAAAATCTCCGAGAGAAGTCTCTATGAAGAAGGGCGATACTTTGACTTTGTTAAACTCGAACAACAAGGATTGGTGGAAAGTCGAGGTGAACGATCGCCAAGGTTTCGTTCCAGCTGCGTATGTGAAGAGAGTCGAGCCTGAAGCTGGACTGAGTGCTTCTCAGCAGAACCTAGCTAGGGAACAGAGTTCCATTGCTGCCAGACAGGCACAGATAGAGGCTCAATACGATGATCTGTTGAGATTGGCGCGCGAACGGCAGAACAAGCTAAACGAGACGGCCAAGGCTTACGTGCTCGTCAGAGAGGCTGCTGAGTTGGCTACTTGGATCAAGGACAAGGAGAACCACGCTCAAGTTCAAGACGTCGGTGAAGATCTGGAGCAAGTGGAGGTCATGCAGAAGAAGTTCGATGATTTCCAGGCAGACTTGAAGGCTAACGAAGTTCGTCTAGCTGAGATGAACGAGATCGCCGTGCAGTTGATGAGTCTTGGGCAGACGGAGGCAGCCCTGAAGATCCAAACGCAGATACAGGACTTGAACGAGAAGTGGACCAGCCTGCAGACTCTTACCGCGGAACGTGCCAACCAGCTCGGTTCTGCTCACGAAGTACAACGATTCCATCGTGATGTTGACGAGACCAAGGATTGGATTCGGGAGAAGGACGCCGCGTTGAACAACGACGACCTGGGCAAGGATCTGCGCAGCGTACAGGCGCTGCAACGTAAGCACGAAGGCCTTGAGAGAGACCTGGCCGCTTTAGGAGATAAGATCAAGCAACTGGACGAAACGGCTAATCGTCTGATGCAGTCGCATCCCGAGACGGCCGAACAAACGTACGCTAAACAGAAGGAGATCAACGAGGAATGGACCCAGTTGACGGCGAAAGCTAACAGCAGGAAGGAGAAGTTGCTGGATTCTTATGACTTGCAACGATTCCTCAGCGATTACAGGGATCTAATGGCTTGGATAAATTCGATGATGGGTCTGGTCGCTTCGGAGGAGTTGGCTTCCGACGTGACCGGAGCGGAAGCCCTGCTTGAACGGCATCAGGTGAGTCGACAAAGGAGAGATAGATGTAAAGGTGGTTCAGTGATCATACGGTTGTTCACGAATCATTCATGAATTATAGAATCTCAGGGCAGAGATAGATGCGCGATACGGAGCACTTCTAGAGGTATCGAAGTGTTTGGCATGAAACGAAAATGTGCGAATTTGCCTCTGTGAATAATTAATTGCAGTTGATATATTCCTTCTCATGTTGCTGTTGAATTTTTATTTCGTGAAAGGAAGATTGACCGACTGACGTCTCAGTAGTTATAAAATACCGGCTTATTAACACTTGAAGTATTTTCAACGCTTCTACATATTGCAATCATTACTTTCTTTCGCTTATCGTAGTGCCGAGTGGATTGAAATATACTTACCGACAAAATAGTAAAAGAGATTTATTTTCTATAAACACCTGAATAATTGCTATATAGAAATTTTTTGTCGGTAAGTACATACAAAGGTATTCGTGTGAATTCCTATCGCGAAACTTTAATTAATTTACGAATTCCCGTGACCACGTACTCATTCGCTTTGTGTCATAGGAACATCGCATGGAGATCGACGCCAGGGCAGGCACCTTCCAGGCGTTCGAACTTTTTGGCCAGCAACTTCTACAGTCGAGTCACTACGCTAGCGTGGAGATTCAAGAGAAGCTTGAATCGATGGCCGAGGCGCGTCAAGAACTAGAAAAGGCTTGGATCCGAAGACGCATGCAATTGGATCAGAATCTGGAGCTCCAATTGTTCTGCAGAGATTGCGAGCAAGCTGAGAACTGGATGAGCGCACGTGAAGCCTTCCTGAGCACCGCAGACACTGTCGACAGTGGCGACAACGTGGAAGCTCTTATCAAAAAGCACGAGGACTTCGACAAGGCCATTAACGCTCACGAAGAGAAGATTGGCACCTTGCAGACCTTGGCCGATCAGCTAATTGCTGCCGAGCATTATGCCGCGAAACCGATCGATGAGAAACGTTGCCAAGTTCTAGTTCGTTGGAAACACCTCAAAGATGCTCTCATCGAGAAACGATCCAAGTTGGGAGAGTCTCAAACCTTGCAACAGTTCTCCCGCGACGCCGACGAGATGGAAAATTGGATCGCAGAAAAGCTGCAACTCGCTACTGAAGAAAACTACAAGGATCCAGCTAATATCCAATCAAAACATCAGAAGCATCAAGCGTTCGAAGCCGAATTAGCTGCGAACGCGGACAGGATTCAATCAGTGCTCGCCATGGGCGGCAATTTAATCGAGAAACACCAATGTGCCGGTTCCGAGGACGCTGTTCAAAAGCGACTTGCTTCGATCGCCGATCAATGGGAGTATCTTACTCAGAAGACCACCGAGAAGTCGATGAAGCTGAAAGAGGCGAACAAACAGCGCACGTACATCGCTGCCGTCAAGGATCTCGATTTCTGGCTCGGCGAAGTGGAGAGCTTGCTCACCTCCGAAGACGCTGGCAAGGATCTGGCCTCCGTCCAGAATCTGATGAAGAAACATCAATTGGTCGAAGCCGATATCCAAGCGCACGAAGAGAGGATCAAGGATATGAACGCGCAGGCGGATTCTCTGATCGAAAGTGGGCAGTTCGACGCAGCTGGTATTCAAGAGAAACGACAGAGTATCAACGAGCGTTATGAAAGAATTCGCAATCTCGCTGCTCACAGGCAGGCTAGATTGAACGAAGCAAACACCTTGCATCAGTTCTTCCGAGATATCGCCGACGAGGAGTCTTGGATCAAGGAGAAAAAACTATTGGTCGGATCGGACGACTACGGCCGCGATCTTACGGGTGTGCAAAACTTGAAAAAGAAACACAAACGATTGGAAGCTGAATTGGGTAGTCACGAGCCCGCGATTCAAGCTGTTCAAGAGGCGGGAGAGAAACTAATGGACGTCTCTAACTTGGGTGTACCCGAAATTGAACAACGCTTGAAGCTTCTCAATCAGGCGTGGGCTGAGTTGAAACAGTTGGCTGCTAACAGAGGACAGAAGCTGGACGAGTCTCTGACGTATCAACAGTTCTTGGCTAAAGTCGAGGAAGAGGAGGCTTGGATTACAGAGAAGCAGCAATTGTTATCGGTCGAAGATTACGGCGACACTATGGCTGCAGTTCAGGGTCTGCTGAAGAAGCACGATGCCTTTGAAACTGATTTTGCAGCTCATGGCGAACGCTGCAAAAATATCTGTGAAGCTGGAGAAGCTTTGATCAAGGCTGGAAACCATCGCGCAGATGCTATAGGACAGAGATGCGCTCAGCTTCGCAATAAACTGGAACAACTCGGCGCTCTTGCTGCCAGAAGGAAGACCCGACTCAACGATAACTCAGCTTATTTGCAATTCATGTGGAAGGCGGACGTGGTCGAGTCCTGGATCGCTGATAAAGAGACTCACGTACGTTCGGAGGAATTCGGACGCGACTTATCCACCGTTCAAACGCTGCTGACTAAACAGGAAACTTTCGATGCAGGATTGCACGCGTTCGAGCATGAAGGAATTCAGAACATCACTTCGTTAAAGGAAATGCTGGTTGATTCCGGACACGATCAGACACCTAGTATTCAGAAACGTCATGCAGATGTGATCGCTCGCTGGCAAAAGCTCTTGGCTGACTCGGACGCAAGGAAACAACGTTTGCTGAGAATGCAAGATCAGTTCAGACAAATCGAAGAATTGTATCTAACGTTCGCTAAGAAGGCATCCGCTTTCAATTCGTGGTTCGAGAACGCTGAGGAAGATTTGACCGATCCCGTTCGATGCAACAGTATCGAAGAGATTCGAGCCCTTAGGGAAGCCCATGCACAATTTCAGGCTAGCTTGTCCTCGGCGGAGGCAGATTTCGAAGCTTTGGCCGCCCTCGACAGACAGATCAAGAGCTTTAATGTCGGCCCGAATCCATACACGTGGTTCACGATGGAAGCTTTGGAAGACACCTGGCGTAATCTGCAGAAGATAATCAAGGAACGAGATGTGGAGCTTGCCAAGGAAGCTCAACGGCAGGAGGAGAACGATAAGTTGCGTAAGGAGTTTGCCAAGCACGCAAACGCCTTCCATCAATGGCTTGCGGAGACGAGAACGTCTATGATGGAAGGATCAGGATCGTTGGAACAACAATTGGAAGCAACGAAGAGGAAGACTCAGGAAGTTCGAGCACGACGTCAAGACCTGAAGAAGATCGAAGACCTGGGAGCGATCTTGGAGGAACACTTGATTCTGGATAATCGTTACACAGAGCACAGTACCGTGGGATTAGCGCAACAGTGGGACCAGTTGGATCAATTAGGAATGCGGATGCAGCACAATCTGGAACAACAGATACAAGCTCGCAATCAGTCCGGTGTTTCCGAGGATGCTCTCAAAGAATTCTCGATGATGTTCAAGCACTTCGACAAGGACAAGAGTGGTCGCCTGAATCACCAGGAATTCAAGTCCTGCTTAAGGGCACTTGGTTACGATTTGCCGATGGTAGAGGAAGGCCAGCCCGATCCGGAGTTCGAAAATATTCTCGGTCGGTTTATATCTTAAGGAAATTTTAAGTTAGAACTAAATTTTCGAAATAAGTTTATAATATTAAATGTTCCTTTTCCCCAGATATCGTCGATCCGAATAGAGACGGCTACGTTTCACTGCAGGAGTACATGGCGTTCATGATCAGTAAGGAAACCGAGAACGTGCAAAGCTCTGAGGAGATAGAAAATGCTTTCCGTGCAATCACCGCCGCAGATCGACCATACGTGACGAAGGAGGAATTATATGCTGTAAGTTCATGCGATCTGTCTTTCATCGATTTATGCTTCCAACTTTTTTTTTAATGACACTTTATGTGTATTCTTAATTTCTAGAACCTCACGAAGGAGATGGCCGACTACTGCGTTGCTCGTATGAAACCGTACGTCGATCCAAAGACCGAGCGACCGATCACAGGGGCATTGGATTACATTGAATTTACTCGTACTCTTTTCCAGAATTAATCACATTAACATAAATTATTCCTTTTTTTATTCTGCCAGTTTTTAAATTATAGAATATATATCACGACTGAACTATTGAATGCTTATTTATTTTATTGTACAAGCTGTTATTGGAAAATTACAAGTTTGAAAAGAACGCTATAAATAATTCATCATATACTGCATTATCAAATGAAGTGAAAAACATATGTTTTCTAAACAAAACTTTATTGAGGTACATTTTACAGTTAATTAGGAGCAATTTTATTGGATCCAGTACACTAGACGATTCACTATCTACTTTGACCAGGTTTTGATACAAACCTATTTAATACTCCATAATCCTTTTGAGGTTGCTGTGTTTTCTTCGCATCTGATCGGATATCTTCTCGCCGAAGTAAATTGATAGTTTCCTGAACAAGATTAAAATTGGCAAATTTAAAAAAGTCCCGACAATGATCGAACTGTGCTATTATAGCGGACATAAAAGAAAAGATATTTTTTACCTTTCGACTTAAATCCTTCAGGATCTTCTTAGTCTTGAGCACTTTAGCTGTTCCTCCCTTTCCTTTAGATTTCGTTTTACGCGGTGTGAAATCAATGTCTTGTGGCTTTAGATACTAAATGAGAAATAGCAAGTTACAATAGCGTAGTTACAAACGAAATTAAAGTAATCTCCCATCGACTACTCACTAAGATCTTCTTCTTAGCCTCGATTTTATCTTTCAACGTAGGCACGTCTACTTGCGTGATAGCAACCGGGTCCAAACATATCAATTCCGGTTGAATCTTATCCAACAGAGCCTTTACTTCGGCTTCACGTCGTTGGGTTTTGGTCTGGAACGGATTACTTTCCAGAGCGTCGTAGTTCGCTTCACCGCTTCCGGGTACCAAAAGCGAAGAGACTCCTCTTAATGTACCGATACCTAACACATCTTCATACGGACAGAAATGCATATTCGTCACTGTCCAATCAGCTCTGTGACGCAAGTATGGTTTCACATCGGTGGCTGACGATCTATCACACAAATCAGAAATGAATCAAATGAACTGTCTTATAATCACTTGGAACATAAGTGTTAGTGAAACATACCGAAAGACTTCAACGACGTTTCCCATTGACATCGCTAATTGTCCACTCTGGCTGTAAGATAAATGTTGAACGGGAGCGCGTACGCGATAATCCTGCAGGGGACCGGCCAACTGCCGGATATCCCATACCTTTACAGATTTGTCTGGACAGGCAGTGGCCATGTAATTTCCATATGGATGAACTGCGCAAGCAGATACTGCTTGACGGTGGCACAACATTTTTACTAAAGGGTCTTTACTGTTCGGAGACCACATAGATACAACACCTTTTGTGTCGCCAACACATAGTAATGCATTAGTTGGATTTTGCGTCATTACCTAAGAAACAGAATATTACTTGTATTAATTCCAAGTACAGTAGATATAGAGAAATGGCAGCGAATGAACTTACTCCTATTTTTCCTCCTTTAGTAAAAAAGGAATTTACAATTTTGCCTATGGAAACATCCAGCCAAACTAGATAACCAGTTCTGGATGCACTGGCTAGTAGAAAATGGTACGGCAAAAATTCCATTTCGTTTACTCTACTCATTGCTTTTATGCAATGCAGTTCAATTCCTTGATTGTCGTATATGTATACCCATTCCTTTTGCGCAACCGCAAACATCGTTTCTACGTGCAACCAACACACGTCGTGAACTGATTCCATCACGTTCATCTCACAAGACAGTTTCTTCGTCACCCAATCTAAAGCTGCTACGTGACCCCTCTTTCCACCCAGTACCAAATGTCGTCCATTTTTCGTGTATCTTATACAATAAGGGCCGAAGTCTAAGTTTAACGTAAAACGTTTAGCCATGCTGGTTATATCTACGTTGCTTGCTATTTGACTCTGCTTATATTGTACTGTCGTCTCTCCAGCATCAGGTTCCAAGCAACCATAATCCTCTGTCAAAAGTAATTCAGCACGGGCAGTGTCCTTTACTACATTATGAAAAGTCGTCTCCTTTTTCCTTAACTTTCGTTTCACTGTCTGATTTTTTATCCTAGAGGATTTAGATCTCAAGTCAATTCCCATGCCTCTGTCATGTTTTGCAAGTCTCTCCTTGCTAATCGGAACCCGATTAAGGAATCGCTCTCCTACAAATATTGTTACGAATTAAACACGTGAAAATGAATAATACGCTGAATAAGAAAATGTATGTATAAAATATAAACTTCAGTACTTGTGGTAGGCTTCATCCTGTTGTATACGAGAAAAACACCGGGAATTAATATATTTTATATATACAGGCTCAAATGTTGTGTTTTGTCACAATTCTAACCACAAACACATGCGACCATGCGAGGTGCCATTTTCATTTCAAATACTTCTATGCCTATATTGCTTCTTCTGGTAAACAGAAATTATGGCGACGTGTTAAAATGGCTGATCTGAACAAAGAGCTAAACGAATATCTGCTCAGCAGTAAGAATGAGAAACAATTTAAGCTCACCGTACCCTCGGTGACGATACCGAAAGCGAATATTGGAAAATGGTTTGGAAGAAGCGAAGAGGAAGAACCGGGATGGATCCAGGGAACCCAGAAGGAATGTTGCCCTAGTATGGTACGTACGAAACTACGAGTTTAACCTCGTATTCTGTAAACTGTTTGAGACCGAGAGGGACGAGAAAGTTCTTTTTTCTGACAGACACGAGTTCAAAGGCTGGTAGCATTTGTCGTGTGCTTTGCTATGGGCATACTTTGCTTCTGCCTTTCAGCGATCTATGTCCCGGTCTTACTGTTGAAAGCGAGAAAGTTCGCTCTTTTGTACACCCTGGGAAGCGTTTTCTTTCTATCAAGGTAAGATTCAGACGTAAAAAATGAAACAGGGTTTTCATAAAATAAATTTTTATAGCTTTTGTTTCCTCTTGGGTCCGTTAAGTTACCTAAAATCATTGTTCACCGCTGAGAGAAGGTGTTTCACTATGTCCTACTTTGCTACTTTGATAGGAACACTTTATTGCGCTCTCCATTTACAATCGACGCCGTTAACAGTACTGTGTGCTGTGTTACAATTGATAGCTATGTTGTCGTTCTTGGTAAGTCACATACCTGGTGGTACCAAGGGTCTGATGTTCTTTACAAGAATGTTTAAATCTTCTGTAAATTCTACATTGCCTGTATGATATTCCATTTACTTAGGTATTAAATACGTGTAAAACGAATACTGTACATTTAATTTTCATGTTTTGTATAACTCCATGAATAAAATAGGCAATGTTTGTATTTATACGAAGATACGATAAAGATTTTCTTATGTGAGTTCGATAAGTATTAAAGACTGACTCATCTGTATGTAATATACATTTATTTGTATCTAAAGGCCAGTGAATTAAAGCGTTTTTATCGTGAGGATTAAAAATCAAATGTTTTTAAAATAAGCTATATGAAATATATACAGTTTTTGTATATAATGTATTTATATGTATAAAACAGTTTCTCTCATTTCTGTATACTCGTTCATTACGACGCTATACAGATTCACATTCATTTAACGAGATGAACGATGTATTTCCATACTCAGTATTTATTAATAAGGGAAATAAAAAAAAATTTCTGATCGCAGAATTACAGGGACATTGATCTTTTTATCATTTTTTCTTCTGCTTCGAGACTTTCGTACCTTTTACGCGATTAACGTTACCCTGCGTACGTTTCACCTTCAGTGGCAAATATTTTACATCGATTGTATTATCATCTCCATTTTTCCTTTTCCGTTTTGAATTTTTGTCTTCGTGGATATTGACGTATCTTTTCTTTTTCTCCATACTTTCATCGTATTCGAAATCATAACTACCTAAGGAAATAAAGTCATCTTGCTTTACTTCCTCTGTAACGGGTTCTTTCGTCTTGCTCTCAGTTACACTAGGTGGTACGAATACTCTTTCTTCACAAGAAGATCTGTACACATACACATCGGTAGACAACGTAAATTTAGTAGGTTTCGAGGAATCTGTTTCAGATTCAATGCTCATCTTGTCTTCCTCGGACAATACAATCTCTTGCGTTGCATCGATGTCCTTGAATAATTGTAGTCTATTTCTTGATAAAGGTATTTCTTTAAAAATATCACATATTGTCAGATACAGCGGATGGAAATGATGATCTACAGAGTCCATTACAAAATTCTAAAATCAAATCAATAACAATTAAATTATTACTTTTAATCTTTACTTGTTCAGCTATAGAAATTAGACCTTACCTTTAAGGCACAGGCAGCAGATGCATATCCAATAGTATTTAATGTTACAATCTTTAACTTGGGTAACAGTAATATTGGTACATTCTTATTCTGTGCCATATGAATGATATGTTTTACTAGAAGCTGTGGCTCGATGTTTGCGTCCATTAAAACACAGCAAACATTATTTTTCTCTAAAGATCTTGTGATAGCATTTATTCCCAGTATTATGGACCCTCTAAACATTAGAATGTTAAGATGTACATGTAGACAAATGATATTCAATAAAGTTTGAAGAATAATAGTTACGCTATCTCTGTATTTGGAACATTCTCTTCCTTAAGTGCATCCTTCTTAGCTTTTGCACGTTCTTCCTTCTTCATATGCTCGAGCTGTGACCATGGTATTAAACTAGTCGGTCTTTTAATAGCTGGCATTAATCTGTATAATAATAAATAAATAAAAACTATTTCCTTTCCCAAGAAACCCTTGTTAATTCCTTTTGAAACTTACTTATTTAACAATCCTTCCAGTAATGAACATTTTTCTGCATCTACAACTGGCCTGATACAAATATAAGAGAATAAAATACAGATTTGTTTTACATGTTCAAAAGATAATACGAATAAATCAGCTGTACCAATAATTGTCTTGAGGCTGTGCTAATACATTTCGTAATCCTTTCACTGTTCCTTTCTTCGCTGACAACGAATGTCTCTGTTGGTGTTTTGTTAATATCGGAGTACTCATTATAAACAATTTGAAATCACAATTTTCACAATTGTTCGCGTAGGTTATGCTGCCCTGCAGACGCTGCAGACCAGGAATCCAGACTAGTGCAGACTATAAAGTGTGGTACACACATAGATGGATTATTTTATTTTTAAGTAGAAGTCGGTCGGGATAAAATGTATCTGAGCATTATAATTCAGTTATCTCTTGTATAAGGAATTGTGCCTGTGCTGTATTCTTTTACACTTATACGCGGAGTAAACGGAATATGAACTCGCAAGATGAATTATGTAAATTATGGCACAAGTGCTTTAAATTTTAACCAGGTACACCGTGTACCCGTTATTTAGCGAAAATTTGTGAAATCTGTACAACATTAATTCATCTTCGAGCCGAACGATGGGTTGGAAAGTCGGTTCCATTTGTCGTTGTAAACGGTGCCATTAGTTACAACGGCGCGTGCGGGGGAGAGCATTGGGTGAAGGAATAAAAAGCTCGGGGTGCTACGCCACTGGACCAAAGTGCAGGGGAATGGATAATGTGCAGAATACGGTTTCGAAAGGGAGCAGGACCGCAACAGAGCAGTGCACGCAGCAAGATTGTCAAGATGGATGCTCGGTGCCGTCGGTGCGGAGTATGGATTTTGCCGCGTGATTCGTAAACCGGAGGGTTCCCGTTGTTGTTCAGTGAGCGAGAGAATTGCGCGCCGGGGAAGTATCATCGTTTTTCACGGGTGTTCCAAGGTGTTCCATGGTGTCTCGGTATGCAGCGTTAAGTAAACGGAGTGGTTTCGCATAGTGATGAGAAGAACGGCTAAAACCAGTGCGGTAGCAGCGGCCTTCTACAATGGTGGATAACAATTGTATCATCGAGGGAAACGTCAAATTTCGCGACGGCAAAAAGGTGAGTGGAGATCTTTCTTTCCCCCTCGATTGATTGCCTCCCCCGGTTTCACGGACGGGTGCGATTAATGCAAACAGGATAATTGCTTGATTCGTTGTTCGTTAAAATAACACGGACTAATTTATCTCACGAATTCGTGTTACATTTCAAAACGTTTCCCGATGGCTCGCTCCTGTTCTCGCTAACAAAATCCCTCTTGATGGGCCGTAATTTAATCCGAACTCCCGTTCCGTGCTGGCATAATAATTATAACAGTCACTTGAGCACGGTACAGTTTCAATAGGAAAAATTATATAATGATGTAAGGATCTTGCGTTAACGCGCTCATCAAATACTCGTGTACGTCTCTCTCTGCACGTAATGTATGTGTATGCGTGTGTACGTGCAAGCGTTTATTCAATCAATGAAAAATATGAAAATTGAAATCGGACCGACGTCGAATTGATTTTTTTATTCGTCCGTCTAATTATGACTTTGATTTTATGAATTAAAAAAAGCTGTCAGCTCTTTAGCCACGTTTAAGCGATATCATAGGTATAATTTTCAAGTACTCCGCAACTACTGCATCGCTATTTTATAACTTCGTTCATCTAATTAATTAATTAACGGTGTTAATATATACTTGAATATTCATTAGTAACCGCGCCGCATGGATAATTGGGGGCTTGAATATTTCAACGAATCTGTGTCACTATCAAATATTTATTTCCCCGTCGCCCCATTCAAATTTCAATACAATGCTGACTTTTCATTTGTCATGCAGTCTTCTAATGCGGCTTCAATATGCATTACATTAAAAGCTATTGAAGCAGCTTGCTGAAGACCCAAGGAAGTATTTAATGGGACAGGAATGAAGAGTCATAAAGTAATAAAAAGCTGGCTCATTTTCTTTTATTTACTTTGGGGCCACCAAAGAAGTCATTCAGATGAGGAAGGGTAGGGAACTCTTTTATTTTTTATCACAAGGGTGCAGAGGGTCAGATGGATCTGGGCAAATGTATAATACATACGTATATATTACATACCTATATATACCCTTCCTGCATAATAAACATATGTAAACATAGAGCACAATGTGCAGGACCTGTTCTATTGTTCGTTATTATGTTTGGGAATAAGCATTGCGAATTTGTCGCAGTAATTGAAATTAAATGTAGATATTTATACAGGATCGTTTGTTTGGTTTACAGTGGAAATCAAGATGGTGTGTTATGAGGAAGTTGTCACCAGTCGCAGGTAAATTATGTCTCACTCGTAAACTTAAAAATACACTGTGTATTGTCTATTATACGAATGATTAAGAACCGGGATCAGATAGCAGACGGGGGAAATTATGCGTTCTCGGATATCTCGGTCCCCGGGTGTCATATTAAAGATATGAGAACGCTTTTTTATGTAACATCTGTGAATTCCTAAGAAAGAATCATTCATCTGCATCCGTGGAAACAGAGCCGTCTTAATCTTATCAAAGTTTGATAAGAAATAGTCGTGCGCATGGTGTAACAGGAAGGACAGATGTTGCAAACTGGTTCTAAAGGGCAATAGCAATTTCATTTCCTACCACAAATTCCTAATCCTATCTTCTAAAAGAATTTCCTTACTCGTTATCAGCATAAAGAGGTCCCTCCCCCTATGGACCTTGCCTAGGGTGGTGGCAGCTGGCACATCTGTTACAGATTGACTAGCTGGAGAAACAAAAAATTTCCAAGAAGAGCCTTTGCTTCTGGCAATAACCATTAATACCTGGGCCCTTGTAATACGAGGATATTTTAGAACTTAGGGACACCAGTAGCTCATAAATTTTCTTTAGGGAGAATTAGTTGAGAGTACACATAGGAGGGGCTAAATAGATTTATTACGCTTCCACGTCTGCTTAACCATATTAGTAGCACGTTGCCTCCATCACTTAGCGACGCGTTGACGTCCGATAAAAAATTGTCTAATTGAAAAACTTTTGATTCACGACCGATAAGAAAGTTGTTTAGTAAGTATGGCGCTCCTATTGCAGATTGTCTTCATTTGCAATTATATGGAGATAGCAAGGATCGATATAAGCAAGGCCAAACGAAAGCTTCTTTAAGCTTGCAACATTTTCTTGGCGTCGAGAGCGGTTTCACTCTCGATAAGGAATCGAATACGATAGCTATAATATGTCAGGATGTAACAGTTGTCTTGGCCTTCGACACTAGAGAACGGTTGATACAATGGCAAGTGAAGATCTCCAACAATTTAGGCGAAGGTACATAAAGTAATTTAAAAACAATGAAAACCCTCCGAATTAAAAATTCTTAAAATCGTAATTCACCCCTGCAGATCAACAGTTCCTTATACTGATCTCCTCGGTCCCGTCAAAGGCGAAGGTCACAAATGGCCCGGCACACTTGCACATACAGGACCGTCGTTTCTGCATCACGGTAGGTATACCGCCGAGATTAGTCGGCATTTGGGAGATCGCGCATCTCCGACGTTACGGCGTTGTGGAAGGACGATTCTGCTTCGAGGGCGGCTCGAGCTGCGGCCGGGGGGAGGGTCTTCACGTCCTGATAACGGATCAAGGCGAAGACATCGTGAAGATGCTGCAGTTAGCGGCGGAAGGGAAACTGACGAAAAAACGACCGCTTAGCAGGGAGCAGATAGCGCAGGATAGCCCGCGTCGTCAGTTCTCCCGATCGGAAACGAGGGCCAGCGATTTCTTCCCTTCGGCTGTTTACTCGTCCACGTACGAAGAGCAGTGCGACAGCTGCAAGAACGAGAGCTCGCCCTATTGGTCGTCCGCGGAGAGCCGGCAGCAAGCCGAGTTCGACAGGGATTACAGTAGCAGGGACACGGTATCCGTCTCGGAATTGCCCGATCAGCCGGGGGAATGGCGCAGCTGTTCGCTCACTCGTCAAGGTACGCCCGCTCTCGAACGATGCGCTAGCTGCATAAGTAAACTGGGCACCGTGTCGAAATCTTCTACGCTCGCTACGACGACCGGCAGTATAAGCAGCCCTGCGGGGACGATGAATAATATAGGCTGCCACTTGCAACCGCGAACTCTCGACCGGCTGTCCTTGTCCTCGTACAGTAGCAGCAGCCACGACAGCGACTATTCCAGCTCACAACAGGTGGCGGAGTGTCAATGCTCGAAGAATTCGCAGCAGCAATCGAGCGTACAACGCGCATCGCCGAGTCCCAGCTCGCTGCCGCCACGACCACCGAAACCGTCCCAAACCACTGCCACGAAGAAGCTTAAGAAACCGCCTATGCCACTGCCCACGGAACAAGCGTGCGTGCACTCGCGCAAGCAGTTGATCGCGAGGAACACGACCGTCGTCGCGGGCCCGTACGAGAATTACGACGTGCCCAAGTCGATCTTGGGCCACCACATGCTGATGGAACAGAGTTCGCAACCCGATCAGTATTACGACACGCCAAGGAAGATCAAAGAATGCCTGGCACTGCCAAAAACGACCTATCCTAATTACGACACACCGCAAGCGCCTCAAGCGGTGGTGTTGCAGCAATGCGGCTGTCCGGCCAAGCTCACCGTTCAGTCTCCCAGGTCTTCTGCATGTCCTTGTCAAAATATGATGAGCTGGGCCGGTTTCGTGTTGCCATACTGTAGGCGAGGGGCAGGCATCGAGCCGACCGGAGTCGCCGTGCACCCTGTTAAACTTTCCGGAGAAGGAAAAATGCCCGTCGTGAACGCTAGCGGCGAGGTAGCAATTTACGCGACAGCGCGACGGATAACTGCGTCAGAGAACGTCGAAGACAAGAATAAAGACAGTTGTGAATGCCCGGAGAATCGAAGTAACAATTACGAGAACGTTGAACCTGTTATCGATACGCAACCCGAGCCCAAAGCTAATTACGCGAACATAGATTTTACCCAATCCTTGGAACATTATGAGAATAGTAAAGACCTGTTGGCGAAGAGTGGAATATCGCAGGAGGAGATAGAAAAATTTTCCGACCAGATAAAGGATGACACTATCGAGCCGGTCGCAGAAGATTCGTCCAAGATTTGCCAGAAATGCGGTCACGTTAAGGACCGGGAGAACGATTATTTGGTCATGGATCCCGAGAAGCAAACGCCAAAGAAACCTTTCCCCAGTTATTTACCGATGCAGCCGGTGCACAATGCCTGTTCAAAGGAGATCTTGTCCCGAATCTGCAGTGGTATAAAGAGTTCTAGCAATCCTTCGCTGTCCGCTTCCGCGTTGTCCGAGAGCAAAAAGAGATCCGATTCGGAGTTTCGCGTCCCCGGCTCGGCGATGCTGTCCAGTCCGTATCTTAGACGCCGTTATCTGAATGGAAATAACGGAACAGAATCCAATGGAAATATTAGTATGTTACTGAGAAAACGATCGTACTCGGCAGAATCTGCTCATTATTTAGATGACGAAAATCACACGTTCCCGTCGACGTTGACGATCCACAAATGCTCCAGCGAAGCGGACAAAGCATCTCTAGTAAGAGAAGCTTCACCGTGCGTTAATTCGGAGATTAAAATGAACCCGGAAAACGGGCAGATATCGGTAACGCCGCAACCGTCGTTTATAAAGATTCGACGCTCCTCTTCCGTTCCATCTAAAACCGGTCATAATCGAGATTCATCGAGCAGCAATGATTCAGGCGTTTCCACCGGATCTCTCAGTCACAGGACTGCAGAATTCGTTGAATTCGAACTGTCGCTAGCTCCATCGACGTCGAGGAAGCAGAACGTCCTGTCCGTGTACAGAAAGAGTCCGCCGCCCACGTGTTATCACAGCAGTTTGCCGAGGAAGTCCAAATCCAGCGACCCGCTTCGGGAATTGTCGTTCCAGTTTCAGAAGATCAAGATCCCTACGAAATCTTCTTCGGCGGAAGCTGATATTCCGACATGTCTACCGAAAACTACAAAAGGGTTCAACAGTCCGGGAGAGGTGTCCAGCACTCCTTACATCGACTCGCGAAGCACGAGCAGCGGTACGTCCGACATGTCCGATTATATTGAGACGTTGTCGCTGTCATCCCACTCGTCATCCGATACACCAGACAGTTTGAGGTAAGTTTGTTTAAAAGACAAATACTATTCGAATCGCTTCATCATTATTTATTTCGTATTTAAACAATTTATATAAAAGCAAGAATTTATTATGAGAGTGACGAGATTTGTAAATTGAGTAGAGTTAGAATCACTGTCTAGTGAAGTAACATAAGAAGAGGGTCGTTGAGAAGAAGTGGAATGCTTGATCTTTCACCGGAATTCTTCCAGACTGGGTGGCAGAACGGTGGCAACGACGCTGCGTCCCCGGAGCGGGAAAGAGTATTACAAGATTGACAGAAGTATTCTTGTTGAGCAAGGAAGAACGTTGACGACACCATCCGCCAATTACGCGAATATAACGCCGGTGCTCGAGAAAAGCGAGTCCCCCTCGCCCGGGTACATGAGCAGCTCGCCCTTTGAGCAGCCACAGCCCACTCGTGAACACTTTTTGTTTCCCGATGTGAGTACCACGAGCGATGTTACGCTATTATAATTTTAAGACGCTTAGAGGATCGCTGATTCACGGTTTTCGGTGGGATTTCTTTTACAGGAAGCTTGAACAGGTCGCATTGTTTGGGAAGAGAGCGGAAAACTTGAAGTTCCTACGGATTCCAAACAAAATCGATAAGAGGTAATCATGCTAGATATTATTAACCAGGGCATCGTGACTGTTTACACTATACGCGGGTATCTAGCACTTGTTCATCTTAAAACAGTGCGCGACTTGGAACTGTAAGGTCCAAAGATCGGTAACCATAGAACGGACAATGGATCATCGTATTTAGAACAGCTATCTTTCAGCTTTCTTTAAATCTTTTCACGTCTTCTTACAAAACGAACCCGCACAATCAAAAGAACATAACAATTTTATATAGAGAGGAAGGTTTTCCGTAAACGGAATCTAGGTTCTAGCGTATAGTCGAAATGAAGTCAATTTAATCGAGAACACTTCCTACAACGACTCAAACAATTTCTAAAACGTGCTCAATAAGAAACTGTAATAGTTTGTATAGTAAGAAATCCTGCCCTAAGATAAAAAGAAGTGTGTGCATCGTATACTTTGTATGGGTATATCGTTTTTTGGATGTTTTATTTTATATGAGTATACTTCTATGATAGGGTATTGTACTGCCGGTAAAAGCAAAACGACCCAAGCGGTTAAACGGCTTCGGGTTTATATACTAGTTAACACCATCGATTCGCATTCTAAAATATACAACCAAAAATGTAAGAGACAATGAAAAGAGATTGACAAAATGATACGGATGAAAGCAGATGCAATGAAAGTAGTCAGTTGCATATAGCGTCTCACAGGGTTTTTCAAATCTTACCTAATTATTTTCTAAAGACTAAGATAGCGTTTATAGCCGTCGAATGGTCTTCTCTTTAAACAAGAATTTATATGAAAGGTCGGTGGACGTCGTAGAGTCTCTGGGCAATCAACGATGGCACTATGTATAGATTATAAAACGAGATACATAACTTTAAATAAGTCCTAAGGATACCGCGAACGTTTATAAACGCCCGAAGTTATTTTCATTCAATTTCTACGGTCTGTGGGCAGGCCTTTTATCGGTAATCTTTCAATACGATCCTACATTCGCGTCATCACTTTCCTATTAGATTTATCTTGTAGCTGTTACGCAACGAATTAGTTGTTAGCCCTAATTGCAATATTACTTTCCCTTATTTACTTTTCAAGTAATCGTAGAAAACGTACTTAAGATATTTTTTACTCGTACTTAACGTATTTTCTATTCGTACTTAACATACACGAACGTATATCGTCTGTGGAATTCTTTACCAAAAACGGGCAACAAAAATGAGACAAAGAATATTTATTTTTACTTCGACGGTGCAGGATCTTTTCGATAATAAAACATATTTATAAAGTAGTCGGTTAAGCGAGGGAGTACGACGCGTCGAAAGTTGGGCCTATTTTAATTCTGCGCAGCTTCGAACTTTCTTTGATCGTCGTCGAGAATTAACGAACTACGCGAGCTGGGACCGCGAGTCTTCTGTGCATTCATAATTTCGAAACGATTAAGTACTTAAAAAAAAAAGAGAAAGAGAGACGCGAGCACTGAGAATAATCGAGTTCTGGTAACGCGCTGGTCGATATATGATATTATGTATGTACATGCAACGTGCAGTGATACTGAACGCAATAATAGGAATGATAGGAGTTATAAGAATGGAAAAAAGAGAAGGGAAAGAATCGATATCGGACGTTTTCGCATTGAGATATTGTTAAAGCGGATTATTCTCTGTTTCAATGTACATGTTATGCTCTACGGAGCGGATAATCAAATCAGTATTCAGAATCAAAAAGATCAGCGGTAACGAGCGCTTTGCCGTGCATATTAGGGGTTCATTGAACAATGTAAAGTTAACCGGGAATCACGATTAATCGTGAGGGATATATACATGTTTCCTACCCTCGCGCAAGGAATTGTTTTCAACAGAACTCTGTAATGTACAATTATAACTCCGCGCCCGTTCCTTCGAGTCCCAATACACGTTCTCGTCTGTCGTTATCTTTTCCGTTGCGTGAAAAGCGAATCTGAATTTCTGAATGTTTGAAATTCAAATCTGCCTTCGCCGATGCATTGAAAAGAAGTATCAGGTTCTTCTGATCCATTCCAAGCAATATCGCATTTACCCGTAGCAATGCTTATCTTTTTCTATCACGCCGCGAGTTTTCAGAGAGCGGACCGAGCAAGATGTAATATAAACAGTTTACGGTACTTACAATTTGACTCTGTAACGAGTCGTAAAAGTATTAAAGTAGTATTAATCACAAGACTGAACAAGAGAACGGAATAATAGTTGCTGTGTGGTTAAATCGTAGAAGATATCTAAAGAAGCTAGATTTATATAGAATCTTTTTTTCTCCGATCAATCCCTTTCTCTAATATTATTTTCCGCATCCCGTGCGTCGAACGCGTGTTCCGTGTCTTCTATAGAGCATAGTTCTATATGATGAAACGTTGAAACGAAGAATTCTTTGTTTGGCAAAACTTTAGGAGCCAAGCCACTGTCCAAACTCTACGAATTTCGTATGCTTAAGGGAATCTCGTACTCTCCCGTGAGGACACGAACGATAATTAATCAACACCGTACGAGTTATAATATTAAATCAAGATTAATCTCCGAGAGTGGAACGGAAACTTTTCTATTTCTCTGTCGACGAGAAAGGTATAATCTTTAAGATAAAAAAAACAAGAAGCCGACATTGTACCCCATAAGTTTTCAAGTAAATATATTGTATAACGTTAAGGAGTAGTAATAGAGTTGCGTGAGAATGACCGACGTGTTTTTACGCAACTCTATTATATTATTATTATTATTATTATTATTATTATTATTATTATTATTATTATTATTATTATTATTATTATTATTATAAATCGCACGACGATTCCCAGTCGGCTGATCTTAATCTGTCTTAAGAAGTTTAATGATAATTAAGATTGCGTTCATCGATTCTAGAGTAGCTGCGTAGTAGATTGATTGGGAGTCGATTCTATAAACACATGCTAGTCAAAGTTAAGTACTATCATAGCGGATAATATATTTTTACTGTAAAAGGGACTATCTTGCGAGTCAGGTCGGAAGCTGGACACGCGCGCCCCGTACAGAAGGAGATAATTATTTAAGCGACGCTATATATTTAACGTAGATTCGTCTCTCTCTTAGAATTCTTTTAATTAGATTGACTTGCAACGTACGATGCAAATAAGGCTTCTCGTTGTATCACAGTTATTGCATTCTAATAAGATTTTTAATCAGATAAGCGATACTTACAGATGTAGCTTCTAGTCAACCGAACTCGAGCCTCGTACGTTGCAATTCAACGGATCTCAAATGGGCTGGTGCTCATGGAAATGTCGCACTCTTTCTACAGCTTTTACTTCGTCTTATCGTCCACTATTATTAATCGACTTGAAAATGAAATAATTTGATGTCGATGAGATTTATATTAAGGTAGAAGTTCAGTAAAACACTTTTCTTACGATTTTGTTCTAAGTTTAATCAATTGTTAGTAACAACATTATCTACCAGTAGATAAAATTTTAAGAAGTCTAGCCGTACAGTTTAGGAGATATCAATTAGTAAAGTTTTGGTATTTTACCCGAGATTCCTATGTTAGGTGAAGTTTAAAGCAATGTTTTGATGTATTACAGCTAAACGCGTCTTACTATTTTTTTTCGATAAACTAATATGTTATAAAAGACGTTGATATTGAATTATATTTAAAAAATGAAATATCTCAGCGGTGTCGAATTAGGTACTTGTAAAGTGCAGAATTTTGTATGAATTTCTAGCAAAAGACACGTGAGCGAAATGATAGTATGTAGATCTGGCAACATTAAACTCGAAGAATATCAGCTCTGCTGTGTGTTGAGAGAGTGCGAGAAGAACGTTACAGGGTACAAACTTTTGAGTAGGAACGTAGCTAAACTACTACCTTAAACGTATTTTACCAGGTTCACTGCCATTTGTTTCTGGTAATTGAAATTCAATTCAAGAAGTTTTGTATGAAGCGTGCGACACGAGATCTCATACGCGCCAGCCTGATACGTTCTAAAAAAACGAAATCGCGAATCCCTCCAGGCACTCGAACGAGCTTGAAACGAAGTTACGGAATTGCTGGAAGTCGGCGCGACGCTTGGCAGCCTCCGAGCCTCTCGAACAACCATATCTAAAAGTTTACTAACGATATACTGATAATAGCGAAGTAACGTTCTCGAGGGTATTATTATACGACTGCTCTGTTCATAATTATTTCTGTACATATAGTAATCGGTGTGTGGCATTAGCGTAACCGAGATTTACTTTATTTTGTGATCCGAGGAAATGATGATACTTTTACTTGTATATACATTGAGCAAGGATTCGAGGGAAATTCTGGTGTGATGAAATGCGCTCGAAGCAATTACCACATTTCAATTGATTTCACGATACACCCTCGTCGTACATTCAACAGCGCAATAATTGATCCAGAGGGACGGATAAAAAAGAGAGAGATAGAGATAGAGAGAGAGAGAGAGAGAGTTTAATGGCGAGGGATTATCTATGCAATCCGAAACGCTTTAGTACTCACATATACATATTGTAACATACAAAACCGAAAAGGACAGGAGGGATAGACCGGCGAAATTTGTACTCTCAATTCAAGTCCCGTTTCTTATTTCACGTATAGGTATACGCATGAGAGTAAATCGTTGTTCGCCGTGGTCGATGCCAGCAGCCCCCGAGTTGAACGAAAGTGCTTTCGATTGCACGCGATCGTAGCAATTACGGGTAAAAGCGGGGGGAAGCACAATCGAGAGGGATGCCGCGTCTTTCCGCGCTCTTTAACTCTTAATGCGTCTCGTTTCTTCTTCTCCCAGTATCGGTCCGATCGTTCGGATAAAAAGGAGCAACGCTTTAACTCCATGAACCGCTAATGGCTGTTCGATTTCTCAAGTACCATTCTACTTATTTCCAGAGCAAAGTAAAATAGTCTCGCTGTATTCAAACGTTTACGAGCGAGACATCAATCTTTCGAAAACTTCGTTTTTGCTGTAGGTAAACTTGAACAGCGAATATAAAGCATTAAGCGCAGCCCGGTTGGCATCGATCCACGATGAACGTCCCATCCTTATTCAGTTATTGCTCACGCGAACAGAATCGCGTTCATTCACACGGGGAGAAGCGCCGGGTGATAAGGGCATACATAAAAGTGCAAGTGGAAAAAAAGGGGAAATTGAAATCCGTTTACTTTGTCGATCCCTGTTCTCGACGGGAAGATATGTATTCTAGGGATTCACGGGAAAAATATTTCTATCGAATTTTATACAGACTCGATATAAAGAGATCTGGTGTTTCGGTGAATTAATGGGAAGAGGAAAGGCAGTATTTGAACGTTTGTCAAATTTTGAAAAATCAAACAGGAGCTTACGAGACTCACGTTTGGAACGCATTTCATCGGGTGGAGAATGGAAGATGGACTTACCTTTTTTGAAGTTTTTTATAATCATCGTAAGCGGGAGAGAGTGTGAGGGAGAGAGTGGACGTGTTCGAAATCATTATTACGTACTTCGTAAGTAAATTATAGAAGAACTCATACACAGTTTGTAGCGACTCGAGTCACTGATTTATTAAGGAAGTAGAAGAAATAAAAAGATTGAAAATCAGTTGGTATATTGATTTCTTTCACTCCATCCATCCATCCATCCATCTCGGCGACCTGGAGATACAAGGTGTGTAAATTAAGTAATGAGACTGACTTTTTTTATTCTTTTTATTCGAATATAATTAAAATTTAATATTGTCTCCTTTAAAATAAGCTCCTAAGAAGGCTATCCCAGTATCCGAGTTCCAGCGCTGCTATGAGGATTAGAAGGACCGTCTCCAGCGCGGTTTCCCAAAGAACTTATTTTCAGGGAGACAATATTTAAATGTAATACTATTCGAATAAAAAAATTAAAAAAAGTCAGTCTCATTATTTAATTTACACACCTTGTAAGTACAGGAGGCGAGGCTCATTTTCTAAAATGATTGTACTCGATTTGCGTAACAAAAAAGGTTCGATTTATTGTTCGTAACGTATATTAAAACAGATGTATAATTATAATATCGACAGAGCCAATAAAATCTACGATCGCGGTGTTCTTTATTCTCCTCGCGTGTAACTAGATATACATCTTTCTTATAGGTAAGTATACCTCACAAAAATACACTTCTCTCTGTTTCTTTAACGTTCCTTAACTCTTTTTACGGGTGCGGTTTACGGGTAATAAAAATATCGTTCGACGAATTTGATCGTTCACCACGCGCGACACGAAACGCGTCTTATATTTGTTCTCCTTTTAAATATGTATCTTTATTTTGTTACTTTTAGTTTGTCATCACAGATTACTCCTTTCCCGAAATGAAACACAGGCCATATAGCGCTCGTCAACATTTTTCCCCTTCCTGTTCAATGGCCGTTATAATTATTTTTTTTCATTTACGAGCGACTGTCCGGGATAAAGAAAACTCTTCTATTCTCTCGAGATTACTCGGTTTACGTACACGTAACATACGTAACAATATGTATAACATGTTATAACAGTGTCGGCAATAAAAGTGCTCATCTCATACATATTTTTTTTTTCGTTTTGTTAAATTTTCCTCTATACGTTATATAAAGAGAAACGAGTACGTTAACAATTACGTAAAACGAGTGTAGTACGAGCCACGTGTGTGTACTTCTTATACAATATATATACTGCGTATTTTTTACTTTCTGGCACAAAAGTTAACATTACACGGTACGGTAAGATCTGTACAAAAATAAGGAGCAGCATTTTAAGCGATGTTCTTTCTCCCAACGTCGTTTCGTTTTACCTTCGGCGGAGAAAAACGTTCTTTTTCATATTTTCTCCCCAGCGCCGTGTCTCTCCTAGTAATCCCGTTAAACGTGCTCGTGTAAATTCTCTTCGTTCTCTACTTTCGCTTGCCTCGCCTCGAAACGCGCCTCCCCGAGGTCCTACAGTTGCACATTTAACAATATGTTCAATCTCGTTAAACTATTCCTGTATAATTAATATATGTGTATATACATAGAGAATTTATATATACACACATACGGTATATATCCTAATATATATCTCCTATAAAAAAGAAGTCCCGTCGCATGGTGAACCAACAACCGTACGATCTGTGCGAAACGGTTTTTCCATAAATCCATTTCGAATTGGAGTTCGCAAAATCGTGCGGCTGATGCTACCCCTAAAGTCTCCTATAAAAATAATACAACAAGCTCCGCTATGTCATTATGTGATAAGTTCGATAGCCGTACGATCTTATATGACAAAATAATTAATATCGTTACGCGGTCATAATCGAGTTGCGTCTCTTTCTATGTTCTCTAAGCGTAAAGAGCGTGAAGTTCTAATATCGGTGATCAGCGGCTTACAATACTGAGAGAGAAAGTATATGATTTTATTCAGAAATCAATAACGATTGACTCTGGCTACGTGATATCTGGTTGACTAGCGATCATTTAAAAATACTTGTCTATTAGAAAAAATTGTCGATTCTCAAACGATGTTCAAAATGAATAAATGTAAGACGTCAATGCCTCGATTCTTGAACAACATTATACTCTTACATTAGTCTAAAGTGTAATTACGATAATCCTGTTTTCTTTTTTGTTTTCCTATTTGGAACAACGTATTTGAATAAAGTTCGATTCTGTTTTAGGCGAACGGTTCATTACAACTCTTCAAGCGTCTGAAGTCTCCGGCGTATCATTCAATGGCACTTGTACTGTAAAGCTTACGCAGTATATGTACACGATACAAGTACATAATGCCTTTAACGATTTGTACGTTCAGATATCGTATCTTTAGATATCATCTTTGGCTTAATTAAACCTTTCCTCTCTCACCATGCAATACATCTATTTAGAAGCTCAATGAAAATATTACACGTGTCCCGTTCGATATACTTGATATATTCGTTTTACTCGATCGTTCCTCGAACCGTTCTCTTCTTCTACTACGTACTTGTCAATTAGGCGCCCGCTAAGTCGTCTTGGTCAGTCTGTGTACACGTATTTTATATGCTCCGTTACTCCCGTTAAGACTGTATGATATATTTTCCTAGATATCTGCTTTTAAGACACGACAGTGACTCCGATCCACGGTACAAGGGAAGAGTCAGTTGAATCGTTCAACTCGTTTAGAGGGAGAATCGGGGAATCTAGCGTCCCTAAAGTTGCGATCAAAAAGTTACTTCGTTTTTCTCGTGAGAGAAAACTGCTTCTCAAAATCGATCGTACAACGATCTATGCTAGTAAATCGATCGAAAATACGCGTATACAACGATGGAGGCGGTTAAATAATTAAAATAATGCTCGCTATTGCACGCTATACGCGCTCGCTAGCAATAAGTCAGGCTCGTAGATTCTGTGAACTCGTGCTACGCGCTAAAAAGTATCATAAAAAACATTGGTAAAAGATCTTATTAAAAATCTACCCGTCCTTGCCAAGATACCAGAGAACTGAATACGTTAAAACAAGCGAAATATAAAAGACTGTATCGAAGATTTAATAACTAGCCCTGTTTTCTTTTTTAAAACTATTCAAGACTAGACCTAGAATTGGCTATTAAGATTAATTAAACTTTATCCCTCGTTATCTCCTAATACAATCTTCTATTAGAATATGTTCGACCAGTGTGCCTGCTAGGGCGAATGTTACATACGCGGCTAAAAAATTAAAGTGCAAAATAGTCTTATTCGATGCGGTTTCGGCTAATGAAACGGCCTTTCGACCCGAGCATGCGTGTGCCGAAAAATATTCTATTATTTCATTCAACATGCGAAATACTAATAATAATAAATGTACGTTATGAAACCTTTTCTTCCGCTGCTCTCTTTAAATGCTATCTACTCTGCTTAATGTCGATTGTACAAGTACAAAGAACTCTATCTTCTTCTCCCTTGCCAATTACACGTGTATAGAAAAATGCATCGTTGAACTGGTCGCTAAACTGATAAGTGAGAAACGTACAAGGCCACGTGAAAAAAGTGCAAGATCGTAAACCAGTCTAAACAGCCTCGTAACGGTTTTTAAATACCTCGTTGTCTCGTGAAAGAAAATGCTGAGCTCGCGAATTCAAGATTCTACTTACGATTAAAATGCACAGAATAAAATATAACATCCCACACGACTCTCCTCACTATTAGATGCGAATTGCATTTCACTCTCCTACCACCCTAAATGCGTTGAGCATTACAATATGTTAATAGAGATGACATTCCTCGAACTTGTGACACAACTTGCCGATGTCCCCGTATCTCATCTGCGAGCTCACAGGACTGGAAGCCCTAGTGGCCGGCGCTGTTCTACTACGACGTACAAAACTCCTTAATGGTATTTTGCTATGTCCCTGATTATGATTCACGTCTAGCGTCGAGTATCGCCTGAAAGCCCGACTCAGCCGTTCCGACGGCGTGTAGTCAGTCATATCTAAACTACGTTGATCCTTCAAGACAGGTTTCGTCTCTTTCGTGACCACCGTCTTGAAATTGAAATTCGCTGAGTGCCGCTTAGTCCTGTCCAACGTGTACTTTTCCAGCAAGATTTTAGGCTTGTCCTTATCCATTATCAGCGAATTACGTCGCTTCATTTTATCGTCGAGAGGTTTCTCTTGATTCGAATAGCCGAACATCGACCTCATCAGAGGGCTGAGGTACGTCTGATCCTTATTCTTGAAGTGCTGATTCTCCTTCACCAAACTCAAACCATCCTCGTAATCGATCGATCTCAATCTAATGTCTTTCGCCTGATCAGCTCCGTTCGTTCTCCGCTTCATACCGTCCTCGTATTCAGCCGAGAAGTTCCTCTTAGGCTTCCCTTTATCGAAGTTCATAGAATTCCTCTTAGTCCTGTCCAACATGCATTTCGATTGCACAATTTTTTTATCTTTGTCGAGTATCAATGAGTTCCGTCGTTTTATATTGTCCTCCATCATCCTCTCCTGATTCACGAATCCGAACCTTGACCTCAACCTAAGAGGTTCGATGTACACCGGGTCCTTCTTGAAGTGCTGATTCTCTTTAACGAGTCTCAGTCCGTCCTCGCAGTCGATGGAAGTCCTGACGTCGTTCAGTTGCTCGATGTTCGTCCTTCGTTTCATGCAGTCTTCGTATTCGACGGATGAGTTCATTTTAAGTTTAGTCTTTTCGAAGTTCATAGAGGTAGGCCGTGTGCGATTCACATTGAACGAGGTTCTCCTCTTGCCGAACATCGGATCTTGCAGGTGCGGTATTTTAGACATGCTCTGGGAGAATTGAACCGGTATTCTGATACCAGCGTCCACGAGGAATTCGTCGTCCGACAGCATTACCGGTATCTCGGGCATGGAGCTACAAGGCCAACAAGAGTCATTATAGTGGGCTGTGAACGTTCTCATCGGGGCGATGTACTTCTTGCTGGCAATGTCAGCAGCGGTAGGGAAGTCGCGGGTGTCGCGATTTAGAAGCAAAGTTTGTTGCTGCGATCTTCGTCGGTTCTCCCGCATGATAACGTTAGTGAGGGTCGTACAAATGTTAGTCGAGTTGGTATGCCCTATTCTTTCCCAAGGAGCCTGAATTCTGTTAGGTGCAAAGCGTGCAGAACGTCGAAATTAGCGGTTAGTATCACTAGAATCGTTACTGGGTCTAAGAGAAATAGTTTTAAGGTCAATTCTTGAAGATCTATCTCTTCTATTCTCGAGTGTTATCGTTAGATTAGATGTTAGTCTAGGATCAGAGTTAACTTTACTTTTACTCGTGAGTACGATGAACGAATAAATATTGAGATTTTGTACCTCGCTCTTGACGGGTCGCTCGATGGTCCTCCAATTTTGTCTGTAACAAATATCGCATATTATTATTACGCATAGTTTTTCATATAATCACAACGAAACTGATATTTACCTTTTGATGTCGTTTGTGGCCTGAAAGAAAAGAATAAAACACATTAAACTTCTTTATACATAATCGTGTCACGTTTAGACATGTAAATTGCAACTCACATCGTTTTGGATGAAGTTTCAGGCATCTGTCTCTTCCACTGACCTGTAATTAAAAATATTTCGAAAAATCAGTCATCAATCACATTTAACGAAATGTATTTTCTACGTACCCTTCTTCACTGTCGCTCCACCGTTCGTTGCCGTTTTCGTAGTCGTTGGTCCCGATAATCTTTTCTCCTCCTCCAACTTCCTGGCATCTTCAACGTCTTGTTTCATGAGTCCTCCGGATGACTGAGAAGGAATATATTTTATATAAAATACTGGCCAAATCAGATTGTTTCTATTCGGATTTACTTACGGTTCGAGCTTCGTGTTTAACTTCTATCTCCTCCATCTCTGATATAGTTTTACACAACAAGGCGAACACGTCTCGATCCTTTTCGCTGTTAACCAAATGCGTCACCGTCGACTCCAATGCGTTCAATAATTTCTTATCGGCCGGCATCCGCACCTGCCTCTTAAGCTGAGGCAGCAGAGAGACTACCTTCAATCTTATGTTGGCTACGGGATCCTCTGCCAAGCTCAATAAAATTGAGAAAAAATGTTCCTTGAAGTATACGGAGGAGAAAATGTCCATTGCCTCTACCATCAAACGGACGAACATCATTCTCACGTAACAGTTCGAATTGTTGGCCACTTCCGAATACAATTTACTACGTAACTCGACCCTTTGCATCGGTTTCAGATTATAACGTAAGAGGAAAAGGTACAGAGTGCCTGCTGACAGACGGACAGGTATCGGCCTCTGAAATTTCATGGAAATTCGATTAGATCGTACGTAATGTAACTGCAGGCTAAAATGTTTGATGCTTACAGAGTGCAATACTCTGAAGAAGGCCATTGGCACGAAATATGAATATATGAAGTCACTCGGAAAGTATTTAGGCAATATCTCAAGCTGTGAATGCATCTGCGTTATTAATCTCCAATTGTGTGTTGCTGCTATTTCTGATTCACATTTTAACAAAGCTCTGCCTATCTCTATAACTGCAGAATCCTGTAATAAATAAAAAACATTTATAAATCAAACGTATTCGAGTCTCATTCACGGATATACGAAATTAAAGTACAAACCATCCTGTCTGCTCCGATCGTTTGACTCTCGGCTAAGCAATCGAGTACTAACGCTACATTAGGAACTAAACCTTGTAAAACCTCTTCGGAATTATCTTTCAACAATTTTACTATTTCTGTTTTTATTCGTCCACTCTTTGTGCCCAACACTTTAGCCACCTGTGCAAATTGTAATGTTCAATTAGATTTGAATATTTATAACTTTATCAATCAATCGATCGATTCTTACTTCATGAATTCCACAAGCCACAGTCCTTCTGACTAAATAATAGTGATCGCTTGCCAACGCAGTAAAGGTAAGAAGCAGCGCGTCCGTATCGTCCGACGATTTTGATACGAAGATAAACATCGCCGGTAGATTATACGCGCAACACCGTCTACATTCCACGTACTTTTCATCTTCGTCAGGACTGGAACTCATCTGTAATAGATGATAAAATTGTTCACGTTTCATTATGAGACGCGTCGAATTTATAATCACGGTTTAACTTACAAATGGAATATAAGGCTTAGATTCTTTCCTCATCGAGATGATGCCCATTTGTGCGAGTTGCTGATAATACTTTAAAAACCATGACCTCTCCGCAGGTATCAAGACTTCTAAAATGTTAATCGGCGGTCAGTTTATTACCACTAAGGAAGTACGTTCTATATCGACGAAAGATCTTACTTTCTAGGCCGAGTATAATTTTTCCGTATTCTTGCGCGATCACGCAAACGATGTTGTCGTCAGCCTGCGCAGTCTGCGTGCTCTCGCATATCTTTTTAAAAAGTGGCACTATGGTAGTTTTTATTGTATCTGTAAATAATCGTGACGATATATCGCATACCGACTTTTCAAGAGACTCAAGCGGAAACAAATGAACATATTACGCTACGAAAAAACAAAAGAAGAAATACTATGAATGCTTGTAACGCGGAACTAGTCATCAGGCATACCTTCCTGAAGATGAGGTAGCACATACGCTATCGTTTGTACAGAGGTGCATCTTACATTGCTCTCTTCGTCACTTGCTAATTCTACGAGAGATGGTAGCAAAGCAGATTTTACAGACTCAGCACCAAGGCCTTCGGCAACATAACGTAGCTGCAAGCAGATACTAGCTCGTACTTCACTATTTACATCCTGACAGAGGGAGTGTACCATTGGTAGAACTTCCTTCTGTATCCTGACAACAATTTCAATACGTATACTTATTTAATGACTTTATCATTGTGAGAGACTTGAGTTCGTACTATCGATCTCCGTATTTAGACATTTTTCACTCGAGGATATTTTTTTACTGACAAACTGGTACCCCACCCGGTAACAAAAGTCGTTAAGGATTCTGATAAGATGAAACATACTCACAGAGCAGAATCAAATCTTGTACAAATCTTTCCTAATATCTTGCTGCATATTATCCTGGAGGTGATAGGCTGTGACAACTGTCCTTTGTTTATAGTCAATGGAAGAATCTGTATAATTTTACTGCTGTTATCATTCAGCCAATATTGCTCAAAGGATATGTAATGCTTAAGTTTCAAGAATTAAATTATTCAAGCTATGCCGAGTGCATAGCAGTGTACCTTGGAACAAGTGAATTTTGACAAAGAGTAGTACTTGATGCTTAGTCTAGTGGCAAATAATAAATAAAAAGAAATAAATCAAACGTTCTCGCTAATCTAGCATAACAATAATAATTATAAGATTGCGAATACGCTACGAGAGTGGCAATACGTTTGCCCTTCTAAATGACAATGTTTTCTAAATATCAATTTCTAAGATCATCTATACAAACCTGCTTTCTTATGACTTCTACTGGCAGTAACTCTATCACATCCAGTAAGGTCTCCAGCCATGCATGACAGACAACTTTAAATGTACATATATATACATGTTTAGTTATACGAAATAATACAGAGTGCAATGAAGAATCTCGATTACTGGTCGGAAACTAGCAAGTCTGAAGAACGAACAAGGATTCCTTTACCTGGATCACGCTTGTCGATCGAAGATAAAATACTCTGGAGGAATGTCCGACTGAAGACGTTATGGTTGACAAGCTTCTGTTCTAATATCGTTTTGAACGTGGTCGAAGCAGCGATATGAAATTCCGTGGACGCAGTAGCCAGCGACTGCTGCACTTTGGGTATCACACGCGTTATGCATGCTTCCGTGTCTGTGACCAAGAGGTTCGGTAGTGTTTGTATAAAATTGAGTTTTTGAATTTCATCGCCTTTCCTGGAAACAACATCAGCCACAATAAGCAATCGCATCGATTAACGTGAATCATCGTTTCATCGGAGATTCGAAAATATTTATTATATTGTACATAATTCATTTTGTGAAAACGATCCCGTCATCCTCGTGTTATTTTCCTTAAAAGAACGCAACCTCCAAGGCCAGAAATCTTTACATAACACATCCTTTTGGAGCATGTGACAATGTTTTCACCGACACAGTATGCGTGCACACGACATAGGCATGTACACATACATGTATATAGTATGGAACGTGTGCGATGCTCGTTTTACATAAATTTCAGCGCACTTATTGTTGGTACGTTATTATGCAAATAGAACGATAAAACAGACGATCGATAACACAGTAAGATCTCCGAGGAACCTAGGCTTGAAACCTTATTATCCCAAGACGAAACCAGAGCTCTTAGCTAACGTCTTACGAAGCTGCTCGTAAGAATGTCACTTCTTTCGAACGACTGTCTTTAAAAGGACTATAATTAGCGACACTTGGTCGGCAGGATACTCCTCGAGCAACGCCTCGTTATTTTTAGAAACCGATACGGATGCGTGAGAACGAGAAACATCCGATGACCCGCGGCATATACTCTGGGAAACTCCGAAGAAAAAAAACGCACGTTACCTATTACACTTACCGTAGAGATGTGCTCTTGAACAGACCTTTTTCTTGCAACATTTTCAAGGCGCATCTTATTCGAACGATGATACAGGGGAAAAATGAAACGGGGCACGGGTCGGAATCTCGTTCACGCGGACGAGGGGGAACGCGTACGCACTCTCATCACGCAGTTTGACGCAAGAAAAACAACACGACGGAACGTATGTATGATGACAACTAAACTGGGCTCCGGCCTCCGGCCTCCGTCCGACTCCAAGGTATCGATTATATCTGACTTTGTCCTACGAGGCTGCGACCACTGTCGAGCTCGCCCGGAATCAACCGAGTGCGCCTACGTACGTGCCGCCGGTGATACTCGTCGTAACAAACGTTGCTCGCGTACCGCGTGACACAATGGATCTCCCCATTGATCGATAATTAATGTTGTGTAATCGATGGAGTCATCGCCGCGCGATGATGCGTATCGTTCGCGCCTTTCTTCCACGGACTATAGCTTGGAAAACCGATATCTTTCATAAACCTGTTATGCGGCGTATCAAGAATTTCAATACATTCGATCGCGATTTCGGACTCGTCCTTCCCAAGGTTCGTGAAACATTTTTAACTCATTTTACGTTAATTAATTGGCAACGAACATTGCATGCAAATTACGTAGAAACGATTGTGCAAAGTTAACCGGCATACGATAATTAACTGTGATCACGCGGTTTAATTCAAGGATTTTTGCGATGATTTGTCGAAGCACCATGCGCGTAATTACTATAATTATCAAATCACGAAGGACGCGTTTTAACTAAAGAGAAGTCAATTTGATTTTTGTTTAAGCCAACACGTAATGTTTAATATACTTACGTCAAAAGATGAAGCGCTCTCTCAATAGGCTTCTTTTCCAAAGTAGCGTCTAAACTGTGTTTCTTTAGCTGCTCTTCATCCTACGAATTCATGTTTAGGTGGTGAATCGATCGCACGCAGGAATTCCTGTTACCTTTTTTTTAACGCGAACTTCGTAACCATATTTAATTACGTACTCTTATGTCGGGTATAGGCTTGTCTAATTGAAGGCTAGCGAATTCCTCGTAATCCATAAACATGTTGCCCGCATTTTTTTACGGACGTCTGTAAATAGTGATATAACCCCATTTATTTGAAATGATTGATCGGAAACGTACGTTCAGGGTGATACTCGCGCGGAAGTAAGAATGAAAGAAAAACAAAACGCGGTCGATTGGTTACGAGTTTCATGAAAGATCATCGTGACCTGGGAACGGATATAATAGCAGACACGCAGTTGTATAAAATACGAAATATATTTACTTTTTCATAGCATGTCGTATAATTTAGATAAAGTATACATACTTTACGGGCATTGCATATGGTGTATGTTCGATATACGTTTAGCGATATAAAAGATTACAGTTTAACACTAATATATACAAGAAGCGCGAAACGGAAAACACGAATCGTAGTTCCGTTACCATTTTCGCGTGTATCTCATAGCTTAAGATAATCGCGAGTACCAAGCACTCTATGATTTATATGTTGTAAGTTTAAAGAAAAGGATAGGTGACAAAAAATCAACAGAGAGAGAGAGAGAGAGAGAAGGGAAATGAGAATGAGTAGAGCGAGCTTAATTGTTATGTGTGATTCAATTCGATTTCCGATTAAAACGAAAGGCGTGAATACGATGAAACACGATGGAGGCAGTCGATGGCTGTTTCTTTTTTTTTTTGTTGAACGAACGTGAAACGATCTCGAAATCACAGGATATTTCGATAGAGCGATGCGCACTTGGCTACGTGAACGTATTTAAAAAGATGACGCTAGGAAGCTTCGCTGCACCACGCCTCTCTCTCGACGTGCAATAAAATTTGCATTTTATTATCGGGATTCGTTCCGCAGACACTGACGCCTCGCTCTCTATCTTCCTCCTTCGAAACGGCAGCAGCATTCGCGTTCGAATATTCACAGAGATTTATACCATTCTCTTTCCGTACTTGACGCGCATTTTACACATTACGTATCGTCACTATACTGACGAAAGACATTAAGTCACGTACGGAAGATCGAAGCTCAGGTTTCATCAACGCCAGGATAATAAAACAAGAATTTTTTTTTTCTTGACTTAAAATCCCTTGCCAGTATGCCGACGGTGTGTTACTGACAAAGTGTAAATCCCCTGACGATATACAAATTATCTAGACGAAGTATAAAATAATAATTTTGAAACCTTTTACGATTTGCATTATCATCTAAGAGTTCAATGCATATTCTATAGATTTTGGCACTACCATTGTTCTACACTCTGCCGATAACGTATTATAAAATTCGTTTTTACAAGTGTTCTTCGCGTAAGAAAAGAAATTACGAATATCATCTCGACGCAAGTCTTGTCCGCTACAGTCTATACTTAACGATAAAACGTCTCTATGTAGATGTCTAATAAAAGAAAGAAAACCTATCGGTTAAGGCTCTCGTGGAAGCACCCTGAATCACTGTATAACAGTCAAGTCCTATCTCTAAGAATCGCTAACAGTCAACAGCGTTTTCGGACTTTACATCTTACGCTTTCAGCGTAATTATACCTCAAGTCTTCCAATCTGTCGACGCGTTTCTACGAAACGAACAAATGAGACGCGCGCGTACTCTTCGCTCCTCGATGACCACACGCAAATCGGATATTATACACTTCTTGCGAATTTTTTTTCGACACGTGCGTTCCAGTTTTGGACTAGTTTCAGTCGTGAGATCGTGCATGCGATCACACGACTTTTTTTTTTATTTTTCTTTGATTTTCTCCAAGCGTGCTCCTTGTTAAACGTAACTCTCATCATCGACGACGGATCTTCCGAATCCCAGATGTCTGGTAGGAACCGAGGCGCGTGGCTGAGGTGGCGGGCGATAAGGAGGCGGCGGCGGTAAAGACCTTGACCTTCCAGCTACTTTGTGCCTGTCCTCCAGATTCATGTGCACCGGCGGTAGATGCCTCAATCTCGGCGGCAGCGGCGGAGGCGTGTCCGGCCACGTTCTCTCCTCTTCCTCGTCCTCGTCGCCGTAGAGATCGATCGCCTCGGCCTGCTTGAACGAGAACAAATCGTTCCTCTCCCTCGAGCCGTACAACTCGCTCGTCCTGTCCCTGTTCCCATATATGTTACCCTCGGATTCATATCTCTCCGTGGTACACGTCGTCTCTTTGTTCACGTATATCTCGCTTTTCACTTTCTTGAACTCGTACAGGTCGCTGCCCGAGTGGTAGCTACCGTTCTGCGAGACCGGTGACTCGCGGTTAACGTACATCTCCGACTTGACCTTCTTAAACTCGTTGAACCGCTCCTTCTTGAACTCGCCCGTAAGATCCTGCTCCGAATTGTGAATCGAGACCCGTTCCGTGCAAATGTCCTGTTGGGTAGCTCGCTCGTACTCCGACCTGAGATCCCGCGATATGTCCAGTTGCGAGTTCCTATAGATGTCCTTGCAATTCTCCACGTTCTCCTTCATCGAGTCTTGCCTGAGGTAGTCCCGACTGTAGATATCTTTCTCGTCGAACCTGTCCTTGCGATGCTCGTGCTCCTCCAGTTTCGTCCTTGGCGTTCTCTTCAGCTGAGCCCTCAACCAGTCCTGTCGTTGGAAGTTCGGGTTCGGATAGCCGACGTTACTCTTCTCTTCTCGAAAATTATGCTCGACGCTGTTCGCGTGATGATTGTTGGATCCGTACCCGTTCATTCGCTCCTCCCATCCTCCGTAGACACGGATATACGACTTGCTACTCGATTTGTCCTCCTTCGCGAGGGACTTGTCGAAACTCGATGACGAAGCGTTCACCGCGGAATCTTCCGAGCCCACTGGCGATTCTGGTATGAACAATTGACAGTCCGACAAGGTCAGACCAGAATCTCTCGACAAGGACATGTGGTCCTTGCGCGGCGGTTCCGTCAGGTCCAGGCTGTCCAGGGAAAGCCCACCTGCTGCAACGAGACAAATTCCTCAGTGCTCCATCGAAATATAATACAAATTTTTGTTGAAGATCTCTTAAAAAATATGAATGCACATCGTATGAAGAAAATTACTCACAGTGAAGGCTGTCGGTGCTCTCTTCGGCTCCGCTGTCGCTCCGCTCCTCCCCGAGAAGCTGCGTGACGCCTTCGCCGAACAAACCCTCGCAATGACGAATCAGCATCTCCGTCAGCATGGGTATCGCCCTGCTCTGGTTCACGGACGGATTCGGCGACCAGAGTAAGCTGGGCCCGCAACACACGCCCAGATTACTCGCGCACATCAGATTGTGCTTCGATCTCCGCGCCACGTGATGGAGCACACAAATCAGATGCGACAACAGAGTGTAATTCGCTTTGGGCAGCTTGTCTAAAATACTGGAAACGAACGATATTCATTAAATAACCGAAATTCATTCCCACGATCGATGAACAGGAAGTAAAAAGATTCGGTTGCTCACTTTTTCATAGTCTGAACAGGATTCGGTGTGTCCAGGCTGTCCATCCAAAGCGGAAACAAATGAGAAGTGAGCAAAGGATCCGGCAATGATCTCAGAAAATCCTTGAGCAGGGCTGCCACCGCTATGATCGGCGCGTCTTCCAAACAACTCGGATCTCCCGACGATTCGATCTGATCTCGAAGCTCCCTGACGATTCTGACGTTCGCCGACTTTCTAAAGATCCCCTGCGTGAACGGCCCCTTGGCGAACAGCTGCTGAAGCATCACCAATACTGGCTTCGGTAATCCGTTCTCGTCGAGCCTGGACAAGTTGACACCGAACAGGCTCGGGTTCAACGAGAGGGATCGTCTCAGCAATCCGGTGATCTTCGACTTGTTCTTTTTCACCGGCGACTTTGGCACCGGCCTCAGAATGAAGTGGCACGTGTCGTGCCCGCTTTTATTGCAGTGTTCCAAATCGAAACCCTCCTCGGCGGACAACGTGTGTCGCAGGTTCGACAGCTTTATGGCAAACGGTCTCTCGTGTCCTATCAGAGGATACGGTGCCTCGTCGGCGGAGGTTCTCGCCCATAATTGAAACGGCCCCTGCAAATCCCAGAGGCGAGTGGCTAGATTCACGCAGGCTGCCGCCGTCATCTCGCATCCGACCATAATCGTTTTGCACTGCGAATACAGAAAAGCGAATGCGGATGTTGCTCGATGCGATTCTTTCGACGGAACACTGTTCCGTGTTAGAGATATGTGAGTTAGGTCATAGTTTCCGGCGAGAGTCTCGCGTGCTTATCAGCGGCTATTTAAATACGACGCGTCAATAGTGAATACCGAAGTGTATAAGTGACTTTTTTTAGTAGAACCGATCTACGTTAACATCGACGATATAAGAGGAGCATATTAAAAAAAAAAATAACATCTGTCGTGCGAGGAATGGACCGTGAAGGCGTGACCGCGTCTCTCCCTTTGAGCATAATATTCTTATGTGCCCGGCAGAGAAAAGTATGCAAGCACTTACGTATTCCGTGTCATTGTCGTGATACACGACTTGAATGTTAGTGTCCGGCGGCTCCTTCATACTCTCCTCTCGTACGAGCTCCGTCAGACGTCCCCACCAGAGATCTCGCGCAGCAGCAGTCCTGCGAGCAGCGAATAAACCCTCGCGATAAAAACACTTTATTACGCTTTCAAAAGAATCTCGATTCGAGTATTTATTAAAGGTTTTATATGGAAACGTAAAACTGAATTTGCTGTGCCGTAACGGCGCCGGGTAACAGTAGCATCAGGCGATTTTGTATAATCGTGATTAAGGATTGGCACGAGTACTCACATAAAAGTGGCGACGACGTTCGTAGTAGGCCATCCCAGGACGAAACTCGTTTCTGGAGACTTGCTCGTTTCCGCGACGTCCTCTATGTGGCCAGCGGTCAGCCATAACTCGCTCATTCTTACGGACTGTTTCAGTTTAAAGTTCCCTCCGCTCCGCGCTTTCGCTATTAGTAACAAGTCGGAGAAGAGGAAGAGGTGCCTGTCCTGGGACTGTACACCCTGTAATTTCAAACGAACACCGAAGTGCATAAAATAAATAAGTAAATAATTTGGGAACTATAATGCGAAACCGAGCAAAACGGATTGATAGAACGTATAAATTATCAAGATCTCTTACCGTGGTGAATTGTACTGGAGTCTCCAGGAGGAAAGTCCTCGGCGGGGACTTCGGAGGCGGCGAGTTAATCGAAACGTTTAAGGATTTCTGCGACAGCACTCTCGTCAGCCTGCCAGGATTCCCGCCGCTCCTCTTGCGAATCAGACTTTTCATTTTCTATAACACATAACCACCGGTTGCGGCATAAACGAAATTGAAAAGTTCGCTGTATTTGGTAACAGCAAGATGCGTAAGAGGGAATCCAAACAGATTTATCTAAACGCACGAGCCATTATGAACAGTATCACGCGGAGATTGAGGAATACTTGATACATCGGGGATACAGGATATCGACTAGCTATCCAAGGGATTAGCATTAAATTATCCGGGCTCTATCCAGTTAAAGGGTCACGGAATAATAACCAATTTTGATGCTCGGATCTAGGACATAAATTATTATCACGTTCGCAGCGGGCGGCTAATAACCAGACGCCAAGCCGCATTAACTTTCGGATAAGTTAACAGCATTATTTCACCGTCGACAAGCGAGCAGCCAGCAGCAGCCGGTTTCGCGAATACTGGTTCACGCTACCGTGCCCGTTTAGTAGGAAGCTTAACGAGAATCTACAATTTTCTTAGAGCACTCTCAGATTCCAAGCAGGTTCTAGCTACGGACATCTCGGCCGGCGATGCTATGTCAAAACGCGAACTGACACACGGACGAACGGTTACGCCTGACAAATAACTCCGCCGAATGTAACGAGGACATAAAATTATAAGCCGCAGACCGATTAACATACTCCGTTTTGACAGCGGGTCCCTCGTCATTCTTCTCCACTTTTTTCCTCTTACGAAATCACTGATTTCTACGTCGTTTCTCAATATCAGAGTCATATTATTAAAGAACGTTTGGGGATATTGATACGGACTGAAGTTTCTGAAACTCATTTCCGACAGAAATATTTTTTATCACTTAAGATAGCCCGCCATTTGGGTAACTTATCAAGAGAGAGTCTCACAATGGGCTTATTTTAAAATAAGAATATGAAGTGAAATTTTCATTATTAAGGAAAATGAAAGTTCGAAACTTTAACTATTGTTTAGCTCAACTTGTATTAAAATCGTATATGTTTTACAAATGCTATCGAGCTACCTTAAGAATCGCAACAGAACTTTCTTTTGTATATTCTTCCGAGTCTTATGCAATGTTTTGTATGCACATTTAATTTTCACATAAGTGCATAAGATTTACTAATGCTGTATTTCATTGAGACAACGCATTAATGGTAGCTAGAAATCAAGGTAACAAGTGAGTCAGAATGATTGTACGCGATTCGAGGAAACGATCCATCAGCGTTCGCGAGGAGGGAATGAAAATTGCGAGAAGCGGAGAGAGCGCGAGATGTTTCCGATGGCCCGTAATCTGCTCTTGACAGTACTCTTTACGCCCTGTATGCAAATCAGATTGCGGTACACGTGGGACGATGACTCGTTCGAAGACTGTTGTCACCGATTGACATGAACGAAAAATCTGTATCGGATATTCAATTGTGTCTGGTCATCGCGCATTCAGGGTGACGGGACAATAAAAGAACTGTATGCATTACCATTTTTACTTTGTTCAAACGACCGGATCGAAAACGCGCTTCCTACTTAATTTCGCAACGCAAATGACGGAGTGGACAGTTCGTAATAAAGTATCTGGGTGAGACGCGTGGGAAGCGGTCGTTTTTCACGAGGGAAATGCTCGTGAGAATCGTGCAATGCTTTTCCAACCGGAAGCACTCTTCTTCTATGGTGAAACGGTACGGAGAAAAACGTTTTATGCGTAGTTGGGAACGTACCGTGGTGAGTACATCTCGTTCGTGTAGCCGGAGATTGTCGCCGGGGAAGAGTTCCTGGATGCGGTGAAGATCGCCCTCGAGTTGACCGCGTTGGAGAACGGCGCCACTGCTCACGCTTCCGCTTCCGTTCTCCACCAGGTTCCTCGCCTCCTGGCCCAAATACCTCTCGTACTCGGCCAGCCTCTGGACCTGTAACACAGCAACGCTCTTTTAACAATCGTATTTTCTCTCCCGACGATTGCACCACTGCGAGATCTCGAGCGAGAATTGTCGTAACGGAAAGGAGGAAATGGAAATCGTTGAGAAACGAGAAGACCGAAACGGAATTACTTGAACGTTAGCTAGCAGTGGCTCTCGGCCGGAACGCACAGGATAATTGTCTCACATCGGAGCGAGTTATGTAAATTCGCCAGCGACTCACCGTTCAATCACGCGCGGCGTACCGCCGGCAATCGAGCTCGTCGAAACGCTCTGACTCGTGATCGACTGATTCATTGCTGGTTAATTGTCGCGGGGCATCAGGCCGATCGAATTTCTTCCGGTTCTGTTTACGACAACCACCCACGGGCTCGAAAGGCTTCGTCGCTAATTATAAATTGCTAGGTTTCGCGCGTGAGACATCGACGGAAATAAGCTTAATCTTTCAAGGGTACGTTTCCCACGTGCTTCGACAGTTTCCATCGAGCCATTTGCATCGTTACACAAGCTGAGTGAATAAGAAGTATTGCATGATAATTGTATCATTTTATAAACGACGTATCGATGAATAAATTTTTATCAATTATCGTATTAAACATTGTATCAATTTTTATTATAATACTCGTGGCACGATGCAAACGGGTTAAAATGCGATCACCGCGGAGTGTAACGCCTACACGGGTTTCGTAACGAAAACGTACCGATCGAATCGGATCTAGTATCTCGTACGCTCTACGAACAGGAGAATCGAGTCGGATCTGCTCAAAGCACGAGATCGCGGCTAATCCCACGGAGCGGCTTAAGACGAGCCGCTAACGAGTCCAAATTTGTCTCCGTCGATTATTCAACGATCGATCTCCCGAGGATTGAGCAATCCCCTGGCTATTATCATAAACCAATCCTCTCGAATACCGTCACACGGTACTTAACACAGATCATCGATCAATCGGACGATTGTACCAATATGTAAGTTCCACTTTTTATATTGATTTAAATAATACAGATTTATAATCGCAGAAGATGCGAAAATCTTGCGATCAAGTAAGAGAATAAGAGGTACGTACGATCTGCGAATCGGACACGTAGCCTTCATCGACAAACACGTCCACGTACTTGATGAACATCTCTCGATGCGCGTCGCGACAAACGAGAAGAGAAGCCGAAGAACCGCGGACCGGTTGCTAGCTTCACAGCTGCCGGACTGAGGGATTTGAGAGCAAGATCTCGCGCATCGAACGTGAAATGAATCATCTGGGTGCTCGCCGGAAGAAACCACGAGAGTGGAGCCAGTGTGTCACTGTTTTTATCACCTCCCGCGATTTCTTTTTCGCCAAGACTAGACACCGTGACCAAATAAGCCAGCCGCCTTTTTCTTTATCGAAATGGAAAGTTTTTTCAAAGATTCTCCGTTCGTCTGCTCTTTCGCTTTCACTCGAGATTTTGATTAACTGCGACTGGGAGTATATTTTTTATGGAAAGTAAAATGCTCGTAATAAAATAGGAGTTCGGTCGTTCTAAATCAGGAATTTTAATTGCAAATAGAGAATTGAGAAATACTGAAAATTGATTTTCATAATCAACTTCCAAAAGCCGTAATTATATTGCATAGTAATCTGCGAAATATTTCAACGACCGAAATAATGGAATTCGATTCCGATCTAACTCGGTTCTCCTTCCATTCTCATTTCTCCGGGCGTTGGTTTCACGATAATTGCCGTTCGCGGTTCATTACGGCTGCCGGAAATATTCTGGTTCACGGTGTAATTTTCACAATTTAACGCTATCGGCATTCCCCGATGCGTATCGTCGAGCCTTCTCCTCCTCACCCTCCTCGTCTTCTCGTCGTTTTCTTTCGTTCCGTTTCCCATCGTCATTGTTCCAGCGACACGCGTACCTACATATGTACTTTTACGCGACCACGGTACGCCATTGCCCCACAGACTGAGCCCCCTTTTCGCACACTTTCACCCAACCGTCGTCGATTATGTTCCTAGGAATACATGGAACGGAGCTGTTTCGATCGCCGTTCGATAATCGTTATCCAGTCACGAGCCAGGCAAAACCAGGGATTTCCTCGTTCCGATGAAAACTTTCTATCACACGACAATAACCGTGTCCTCTTTACTTCTTTTTTATCGCCGTGTCGAAACATCGTAAACGAACTTGAATCAATGGTGTTCGCCGTTCCTTCTTAAAAGCGTATGACACACATTTTCCCGGTTCCCAGACATTTTTCTCACAGCTTGTTACCAACCCATTAACAGCCTAATTGAACCTTTTTTTCGCGGAAACGGCATTCCCTGGCACAAAAACTGACACATTGATCTGCTTAATGTGCAATTTGAATTTCCTAAGACTCCCCGTTTGATGAATGTTTTAAGAAATTTGTAGAAAATATTAAATGTAATCATAGATGCTACCATTTGAATTCCACAATGGAAGAGACAAGTTCCATCCACGTATTTTATCCGGCTTTCTCCCTAATCCGTGTCTCCTGAATAAAGACGGATTCCAAGGAGCCGGTTGAAAAACTCTCGTCGCTACGGTTCGTACCCTCGATTCGTCTCGGGCGCACAAAGAGTTCCGCCCCGATCGGGCCTCGAGATCGGAGCGAAATAAATACTACGAGTGCTCTCGAAAAAGGGGAACCTCTCCCGTGACAAAAGGATGAAGATTCTCGTACGTGTGCGTCGAGGGAGCAGATTTCGAGGGTGGCTTTCGAGGGGCGAAGACGCGAACGCCAGGCTCCGCTTGTTAATGCGACTCGAGCCCGAGGACATCCCTCGCATATTAATCAACCGTACAAAGGAGCGTCAAGGAGACTCTCGGCCATTGAAGAGGGAAAGAAAAAAAATTGTAGGAGGAAGAACGCTTTTTCGTTACTGTATAATCTCGGATACAGCTGAATTATTGCTAATTAGCATAGGACTTGCACTCGAAAGAGAGGAGGGAGAGAGCGCGCTCGTACATCGAAGCTTTCTGGCTCCGGGCGTAGAAATCCGATTCCGCGTATTATACACTGCTGGTTTGCACAATCGACGAGCTCAACACCTTGCGTCTGGTATACGTACTTCTGTCGCGAGGTCGTCACTTTTACTTAGCTCGAACAAACCGTCCGGATACATGCGTACAGCCGAACGCAAAAGTTGATACAAATGGGAAAGTAGAAATTCAATTTACAGCGACTGGTCATCGACTCTAATAAATTAAATACATGCTTTATTTAATATCCGCGCTATGAGTTGATGGATCATTCGACACTGTCTATGTCTATTCATTTTATTACGCCAAGGGCGTCAGGAATTCAGAGCTTATTTTGACGACGCTGTCACAGTTCTATCTGATACTGTACTGATCTGTTGCAATGATTCCTCTAAGATAGGCCTCTTTTTCGAGGCATCGCCGGCTCGTTTTTACCGCACGCCGTGTCACGAGAGGAAAGCCATCGACCACGAAAGAGAGAGGGCTGGCGGCAGTTAATTTGTCGGTCGGTCGGCACGATAATTTGCCCGTCGGGGCGATCAATCATTTAATTAGTCAGCGAGAACGCGCCCGCGGGCTGGAAATTGTTCGAACGTGGTGAATGGAAGAGAAAGGTCGCGGATGCATGTACCGCAAGAGGCTGCGCTGAAAGTTTCGGCCTCTTTTCTAATTTCGACCCTCCGTTTCATTAGACGCGACTCTCGTTCATTCGCCACGTGCAAGAGACGCGTTTATGGTTTCGATGTAAAAGTTTGAAGAATGCTCGTTTTGCATTGAAATTATTAAGACGATGACTGTTTATGTTCTTTCTTTTCAAGTTTTATTGAGACTATTCATGAGATTAATAATCGACTGATAGTCTTTCGATTAAGGCTGCTACTTTGCAACGTTTGACGAACGACGAACAGTTGCAAGTTTATGAACGCAGGTACGTACGAGCAGAATCTGTAAGCGTAGGTAAACCTTCCTATCTACCGTTACCCACGTCGACCTCGCGACTCGATCGGACTGTTTACGCCTCTGTGCCATCCAGAACATGGCATGTGCCACTAGATCGGCAACTCGGCTCGACCTCTCAGGATTCTCGAACATCAGTCCTTGATTAACGCAATCGTAGGATAAGAATCGCGAAAGTAAAGTAAAGATTCTCAACTAACGGAATCCGTCTTTCTCTTTCTCTATGAATTTCGCAGATTTCTATAATGAATGATTCGATTGTTATTGCGTTTTCTTCGTTTCAGGCTTATTATAGGTGAAAGCATTAAAGAATGCACTTTTGGTATCTTTTACATTTTAATAGACTCCACGCATTTTTTTTTAAAGATGTATCAAATCTAATAATGAAGGTAGAAGTACACTCGATCTCGTTAGAAACAGATTCTGCTAACCGGTAACCTGCATAGACTTTGCGCAATGAAGTAAAGATCCGTAAACATCGGAGGAAGAAAGTACTACCTGTTACTTCGAGTTCCACAATTGCGACGAAGCGTAACATCGCCTCTATTGAAGAAGCAACGAATGCTATGATTTTTGTTGAAACCGTGGAGGCACGACGCAGAGATCGCAGTGGGTTTTTTTTCTCATCGACGATATCCACACGGACAAATTGCCGTGTACTGACGCAACGAGAAAGAACACCTGTCTGGGAGTTACAAAATCCTGCTTCCTACGGGTGATTTACGTGGCTAGATTTCCATTCGAGGGAATCGATATCAACAGAAACAAATCTCGGAACAAGGTATCGCCGATTAATAGAAGCCGCGCGCGCGCGGCGAGTAGTAAAACGGCTCCGGAGATACAGCCTTTTCCTTCCTCTATGCTCCGGCGAGCGGTTCGTTTATATAACGTAATGGGCATTAATAACACGGCATCGAGGTCAAATCCACGCGGAATGCATAACGCGCGTATACGAATGCAGCCAGGAATGCAACATGCATTACGTACGATATACAGGCGCACGTTTATACGAGAGGCACGTTGCAAGAAACGCGAGGATATACCGGCTATTG